GGATTGTAGTTTCCCCCAAATCAAAGGTGATTTGGGAGTCCGCGAAGGGACGATACTTACCTGTTAAACCTACAATTTGCATATTTCTCTAAGCCTTAGGCTTCCACGCTAGATTTTAATACCACACAAGGGCGCCCTCCATCGTCCGCCCCCGCTCCCGCCTACGGCCAACTCGTCCTCTTTTCTCTAGTATCTAACTTTAGGGCGAGCCACCGTGGGGAAGGAGGGGGGAGGTTTAACAAGTAAGTATCGTCCCTTCACGGACTCCCAAATCACCTTTGAATCACCTTTGATTTGGGGGAGTCCACTTCAGGGACTCCCTTACCTGTTAAACCTACAATTTGCATAGACTAGCACCGAAAAACGGATGGTTGGCTTCAGAGCGAGCCTATCCAAAAACCACGCTTCGGGAAACCTAAACCTTGTCCCTTCACGTTCTCCCTAACCAGTGGTGTACATGGCAACTTAAAGAACTCACCAGTAACTGGTGTTCTCTCCTGACCGTGAAGGAACATCCCATCACTCCCGGGTAGAACCTCCCCTGGATGCACCTACTGAGATGGCGGTACAGCCTGTCCGTCCTTCTGCTTGGAGAACATCCCGCAGGTAGCAGGTCGTGAAAGTTGACGGTGTTTTCCAGGCAGCTGCCTGTAAAATGTCCGGAATAGGGACCCCCTTGAAGTAAGCCCATGACGTTGTCATGGCTCTTGTGTCATGTGCCTTGACTGGATTGGTTGGTGAATTCGGCCAGTCTTTGACTGACGCTTGGATAGCCGTAACAATCCACCGGGAAATAGAGTCTGCCGACACCGCCCCGTGCAGTTTATTTGTTGAAATGAATAGTTGGGTGGTGTCTCCTCTAAAGGTTTTTGTTCGAGCCAAGTACCATTTCAGTGCTCAAACTGGACACCATCATTTATCTTGTGGGACGGAGGAAAACCCTTTAAGATCCGGAACAAAAATCGGTGGAGGGAAGAAGGATGGAGATTGATTCTTCGTTAAAAACCCATGACGAGGCACCAGTCGTACCCCGTTGGGTTCCCATCGGATATGCCCCGGTTCCACCGAAAGGGCATGAATCTCGCTTCTTCGTCTAGCCGTGGCCGTGGCTAACAGGAAGACCGTTTTGACGGATAGGTCGAACAAAGAGGCGTTGGCCATAGGTTCATATGGCGGTCCCGCCAAGACCTGAAGGACCTGTGCCAGATCCCAAGACGGAACCAGCTTCTTAGATGGAGGCCTCTCAACAAACATCCCCCGCATGAGCTGAGTCAGGCTAGCATTATCCGACACCGTAGATCCATCCGGGAATCCCTTATGGACAGCCGCTATGGCTGATCTGTAGCCCCGAATAGTGGATACCGTCAGATCCTCATGGAACAGGTGCATGAGGAAGTCTCCTACCACTGCTAAAGGTGTTGTGCATGGATCATGAGTTTGTTGGATCATGTCGTAATTGGCTGTCGTAAGTTTGACGGGTAGACAGTCTGCAGCCTCGGGCTGCCAATGAGGCAGCGTCTGCTGAAAGGCCTGCTGATCGCAGTGACTGCTTGACAGCATCCAAGATGTTAAGTGAAGCGACTCTATCCCTGGGTGCGGGATCAGAGACCGCGGCTGACGCAGTAGGTCTGGTCGCCCCGGAAGAATTATCAGTGGGTTGCACAACACCAAGGCTGGCGCAGCCAAAAGGGAGCGATGAGAATGACTCTGCACTCCTCTGTCTCGACCTTTGTCAATACTCTTGGCAGGAGCGAGATTGGTGGAAAAGCGTATGCCAGCATGCCCTTCCAACTGATGGAAAACGCGTCTGCAGCCCATGCCTCTGGGTCCTGGTTGCGTGCGCAATACACCGGTAACTGATGGTTCAGTGCCGATGCAAAAAGATCGATGTGAGGATGATCCCATACTTGGAAGATCGACTGAACTACTGTCGGGTGAAGAGTCCACTCCGTTGGAAGGACCTTCCCCCGGGACAGAGCGTCCGCCATGATTTTCAGTTTCCCCGCCAGGTGGACCGCTGTAAGCGTAACCTGTCTCGCTTGACACCACAGCAGGAGCTCCCACGTGTGCATGCACAACTGCGGGGACCGTGTCCCGCCCTGGCGGTTTATGTATTAAAGACACGACGGTTGAGTTGTCCGATTTTATGAGGACTACTTCCCCTGTCACCCGTCCGACAAAGTGCTTCAGAGCCCGAAAGACCGCAAGCAGTTCCAGGATATTGATGTGGCACTGTCTGTCTGCCTGGGACCAAGACCCTGCTGCTGATTCTATTCCAATATGTGCCCCCCAACCTGTGTTGGAGGCATCCGTCACCAGAGTCACAGAAGGTTGTGGTCATGGAAAAATTATTCCCACCTTGACGTTTGTTCGCTGAGACCACCAGTCCAGATGGGGGCGAATCATGTTTGGGATTGGCACTGGCCGTTGGATTAGGTGAATGCCTGGTCGGTAGTGGGCAAGTAGATGTAATTGTAGTGGGCGCATCCGCATCCTGCACTATGGAAGCACATCCACCATGCTTGCCATTAGGCCCAATAGCCGAAGCCAGGCTATTGCCAGGGCCACGCTGGCAGTCTGGAACAGGGCGATGCAGTCCACAAGATTTTGGACTCGCTCCTCGGTCGGGAAAGCCAGCCCTCGCCGGAGGTCCAACTTTGCTCCTAAGAAAACTGGATGCATCGTTGGGTTTGGTTGGGATTTTTCGACGTTGACCAGGAACCCCAACTCTGAAATGATGTTGCAAGTGAGTTCGAGTACCCAACTCGTTTCCTCCTTTGTCTCCCCCACTATGAGCCAATCGTCCAGGTAAACAAAGATTTGCACCTGGCGTTGTCGGAGGATTCCAGCTACGACCTTCGCCAGTCGCGTGAATACCCTCGGGGCAGTGGAAAGGCCTAAGGGTAGCGTGAGGAACTCGTAAGTCCGCTGATTGTAACGAAAACGAAGGAATTGCCCCTTTGCTCCAGAGCGTGACGCTTGGTCTTGTCGGATGGAATCGGTGTTACTCTCGGTAGGTACGCAGACGGGGGAGTACTCGCGAACTCTATTTTGTAGCCGGAAGTTACTGTTTTGAGTACCCACCCGTCGTTACACAAAAGGGCCCAAGTCCTTGCGAAACGTGTGAGTCGACCCCCTACGGGCCCTGGATAGAGGGCCGTGCGAAGGGTGCCGTCACCGGCGCCAACCGCCGCCCTGGTAACCTCCGCGCGAAGCTTTGGAGCGGGGATGAAGCCAACTCTACCCCGGGTACGCGACCCAAAGGCCTGACTCTGTCCCACTGTTGTAGTGGCCTTGTAAGACAAGCCCGATGGGTTGGAGGCAAACGGCTTCAATGGTTTACGGGGGAATGTCTTGCCCTTAGTCGTTGCACTGCCACCTCTGGCCGGACGAGAGCTGCCCTTTGGACTAGGCTGTCTATTGAGATTGATCTTGTTCGTAGCTTTTATCCGCTTCGCTTCAGCTTGCATGATCTCTTGGAATTTCCCTCCAAACAAGTCGGAACTCAGTCGGTGGGAGGGATTCGAGGCTGGACCTCAAACCATCAGAGGGAACAAAGATTGTATCCAACACGTTAGCTCGGCGGGCATTGATTGTCATCAAGGACACCCGCATAAACTGGTCCATGCACAGCCGTAGCCCGTCGTCAAGGCAACGAAACGCTGTCTCAGCTGCCTCTGGCGACACCGGCGAGTCTGCCTCACAAGAACACACCAAGTATTCTGACAGGAGTTGTAGAAACCATGCCACTCGAATTCCTGCACGTGAAGCTGTGTCAATCTTCAGTAATGACTCTTCGAAAACATTCTTTTCTTTTGATGGAAAAGGTGATTTCACCGAACTTCGGCCACCCGAATCCGCCGCGATTTTATCACGTACCGTAGCGGGCATGGGCAGCACTGATAAAAATTTATCGAAGTCTGCCTGAGGTACTCTGAACGGGCGAGTTTCACGGCGCACGAACGGACGTATTTTTTTAACCTCTGAAAGTGCGCTCATGCGATCGGCGCACAGCCGATCAATCGGAAGAACCAGAAAAAATTCCTTCGGTTCGACCGGCGTGGTCCGGTGCTTAAACGATTGTCTAGCGCCCTCTACCGGTTCTTCTGCGTCCTTCGACGGTATATGTAGCACCCGTACCATATCCTTCATGACCACGCGCAATCGCTGGTCGGTCGTGGATTGGTAGGATGATTCATCCGAATCCACCGAGGAATCAACCTCCCTCCTTGGGGGCTGTTCCCGGCGATCACGTTTTGTCTCGAGGGAAAAGTTTCCTCATTCCCTGAGGGTTGTTCGGTACTGGGGACCGGCGTGGGTCCCTATCTGACACACTCCCCGGGTCGGAAAAATTATCCGAGACGAGGATTGACATCTAATCCTCGGCCCCAGGTTCCGGCAAAACCTGCCCGGGCTCCGGTGGAGTCACCGGTTGAGCCAGCGCTGTCAGTTTCGGTATCCTGTGATGCCGTCGACGGCCTCGTGGCAATCTGCTAGTGGATGACGATGAAGAGCTTGAACTAGTATATCTCCGCCGTCTCTTACGCCGGGGGCGTGTCTCACCATCGGACCTGTCCCTGCTCCGGTTGCGTCCGCGACTCGGAGCCGGAGCCGGACCTACCAAAACCGTCTTCGGGCGGGGTCCGGTGTCGGTTGCACTGGTCCCTGCCCCAGACCCAACGGGAACCACACCGGTTTCGGGAGCTGTTCCGGTCACACCGGGGATAACGTGGCCCGTCGCTATATGCCCCGCCGGCATAGCTTTGGCCCGGGAATTATCCTTTTTCTTCCCCGGCTTACGTTTGGAAGTGAGCACGGGCTGCCCGGCTGGGGGCGCCGTGTCGGATCCCTCACTCAAACCTGCCTGGGGCATGTCCCCCGATTGAGTGGTAAGGCTCGGACTCTCGGTGCCAGTGACTAAACTAAAATCCGGAGGCCTCACCGGCACGGATTTAGTAGTATGGCCCAATGCTTTACTGGTGGCCAGAGACCCTTTAGGCATGAACCCAGAAAGCGGTGATTGTCCCGCCAATGTCGCCTTGCTCGGTGCCCCGGAAGACACACTGGCTGCCGAATCACCCGAGGGAGACCGGGAACGCATCCATGCTGCTACGGCCTCCCACTCTGCTGACCCCCACTTCTTACAAACCGAGCACGGCACTCGCCTGTTACACGGTCTGCAACGGGGGCATAAATCATGCAAATCTTGTTTGGGGCGGGGCTTAATACGCCAACAAGAAGAACATGGAACGAAATTTGTTGGCGTCACACCACGCTTACTTTGACGTGTGTCCGCCATTACTAACGTGAAAATAAACTGTAGATTCACAAAACAACCCCAAAGAAAACCTGACACAACCCGTGTATTTCTTTTATTAATAAACAGATAACCAGCGTACTCTGAACGTATTATACAAAACAACGCAAGCACACCATGCGGTATATAAAACAAGAAGAAAATGACACCCTTGTGTTTGACTTCTTTATTAACAAATCAACAGCAAATGTACTCCGTACACTAACCTGTAAACGTAACAAAAACAAAACCTGGCACTCTACCAGAAGCACTGAATCTTGTATAACTCACGAAAGAAAAAACTCACAAATTTCTTTCAAAATGTACAAAAAAACACTCTAGCAGAGAATTCGTCCGTAGGAGATTCGAAAACACATCCGTCTTCCATGAACGCTAGCGGGGGCGAACGATGGAGGGCGCACTTGTGTGGTATTAAAATCTACCGTGGAAGCCTAAGGCTTAGAGAAATATGCAAATTGTAGGTTTAACAGGTAAGGGAGTCCCTGAAGTGGACTCCAAGATCTGATGGTGAATCTTTTCCTCCGACTAAACAATGATCTATTTGGGGTTTGTTTACCAACGACCCCATTGGTGCAAACAACCCGTGCGAGTGATCAGATGAAATATGTCCGAACTGACGTTTTTAACTGGGCGCCAAAAGTATGAGTCACCGGGTCGGAGCTTTCATATAATTTATAACTAAACAATGTAACTGTTCATTGTTTAAAATTACAGGGGAGGATGGAAGCGGAAGCGGCAATGGAACTATGAGTGGCAGTGGAAGTGGCAGTGCCTCTGGAGATATTGACAGTGGAAGCGGAAGTGGAAGTGCCTCTGGAGATATTGACAGTGGAAGTGGAAGTGGAAGTGGAAGTGGAAGTGCCTCTGGAGATATTGACAGTGGAAGTGGAAGTGCCTCTGGAGATATTGACAGTGGAAGTGGAAGCGGAAGCGGAAGTGCGAGTGGAAGTGCCTCTGGAGATATTGACAGTGGAAGCGGAAGCGGAAGTGCGAATGGAAGTGGCAGTGCCTCTGGAGATATTGACAGTGGAAGTGGAAGTGCCTCAGGAGATATTGACAGTGGAAGCGGAAGTGGAAGTGGAAGTGGAAGTGCCTCTGGAGATACTGACAGTGGAAGCGGAAGCGGAAGTGCGAGTGGAAGTGGCAGTGCCTCTGGAGATATTGACAGTGGAAGTGGAAGTGCCTCAGGAGATATTGACAGTGGAAGCGGAAGTGGAAGTGGAAGTGGAAGTGCCTCTGGAAATATCGACAGTGGTAGTGGAAGTGGCAGTGCTTCTGGCGATATTGACAGTGGGAGCGGAAGTGCCTCTGGAGATACTGACAGTGGAAGCGGAAGCGCAAGTGGAAGTGGCAGTGCCTCTGGAGATATTGACAGTGGAAGTGGAAGTGCCTCAGGAGATATTGACAGTGGAAGCGGAAGTGGAAGTGGAAGTGCCTCTGGAGATACTGACAATGGAAGCGGAAGCGGAAGTGCAAGTGGAAGTGGCAGTGCCTCTGGAGATATTGACAGTGGAAGTGGAAGTGCCTCAGGAGATATTGACAGTGGAAGTGGAAGTGGAAGTGGAAGTGGAAGTGGAAGTGGAGGTGCCTCTGGAGATATTGACAGTGGAAGCGGAAGTGGAAGTGAAAGTGGAAGTGCCTCTGGAGATACTGACAGTGGAAGCGGAAGCGCGAGTGGAAGTGGCAGTGCCTCTGGAGATATTGACAGTGGAAGTGGAAGTGCCTCTGGCGATATTGACAGTGGAAGCGGAAGTGGAAGTGGCAGTGCCTCAGGAGATATTGACAGTGGAAGTGGAAGCGGAAGCGGAAGTGCGAGTGGAAGTGCCTCTGGAGATATCGACAGTGGAAGTGGAAGTGGCAGTGCCTCAGGAGATATTGACAGTGGAAGTGGAAGCGGAAGTGCGAGTGGAAGTGGCAGTGCCTCTGGAGATATTGACAGTGGAAGTGGAAGTGGAAGTGCCTCTGGAGATATTGACAGTGGAAGTGGAAGTGGCAGTGCCTCTGGAGATATTGACAGTGGAAGTGCCTCTGGAGATATTGACAGTGGAAGTGGAAGTGGAAGTGCTTCTGGAGATATCGACAGTGGAAGTGGAAGTGGCAGTGCCTCAGGAGATATTGACAGTGGAAGTGGAAGTGCGAGTGGAAGTGGCAGTGCCTCTGGAGATATTGACAGTGGAAGCGGAAGTGGAAGTGGAAGTGGAAGTGGAAGTGCCTCTGGAGCTATTGACAGTGGAAGCGGAAGTGGAAGTGGAAGTGGAAGTGGAAGTGGAAGTGGAAGTGCCTCTGGAGATACTGACAGTGGAAGTGGAAGCGGAAGTGCGAGTGGAAGTGCCTCTGGAGATATTGACAGTGGAAGTGGAAGTGGAAGTGGCAGTGCCTCTGGAGATATTGACAGTGGAAGTGGAAGTGGAAGTGGCAGTGCCTCAGGAGATATTGAAAGTGGAAGTGGAAGTGGCAGTGCCTCAGGAGATATCGACAGTGGAAGTGGAAGTGGCAGTGCCTCAGGAGATATTGACAGTGGAAGCGGAAGTGGAAGTGGAAGTGCCTCTGGAGATACTGACAGTGGAAGCGGAATCGGAAGTGCGAGTGGAAGTGGCAGTGCCTCTGGAGATATTGACAGTGGAAGTGCCTCAGGAGATATTGACAGTGGAAGTGGAAGTGGAAGTGGAAGTGGAAGTGGAAGTGCCTCTGGAAATATCGACAGTGGAAGTGGAAGTGGCAGTGCTTCTGGCGATATTGACAGTGGAAGCGGAAGCGCAAGTGGCAGTGCCTCTGGAGATATTGACAGTGGAAGTGGAAGCGGAAGCGGAAGTGCGAGTGGAAGTACCTCTGAAGATATCGACAGTGGAAGTGGAAGTGGCAGTGCCTCAGGAGATATTGACAGTGGAAGTGGAAGCGGAAGTGCGAGCGGAAGTGGCAGTGCCTCTGGAGATATTGATAGTGGAAGTGGAAGTGGAAGTGCCTCTGGAGATATTGACAGTGGAAGTGGAAGTGCTTCTGGAGATATCGACAGTGGAAGTGGAAGTGGAAGTGGAAGTGGCAGTGCCTCAGGAGATATTGACAGTGGAAGTGGAAGTGGAAGTGGAAGTGCCTCTGGAGATACTGACAGTGGAAGCGGAAGCGCAAGTGGAAGTGGCAGTGCCTCTGGAGATATTGACAGTGGAAGTGGAAGTGCCTCAGGAGATATTGACAGTGGAAGCGGAAGTGGAAGTGCCTCTGGAGATACTGACAGTGGAAGCGGAAGCGGAAGTGCGAGTGGAAGTGGCAGTGCCTCTGGAGATATTGACAGTGGAAGTGGAAGTGCCTCAGGAGATATTGACAGTGGAAGCGGAAGTGGAAGTGGAAGTGGAAGTGGAAGTGGCTCTGGAAATATCGACAGTGGAAGTGGAAGTGGCAGTGCTTCTGGCGATATTGACAGTGGAAGCGGAAGTGGAAGTGGCAGTGCCTCTGGAGATATTGACAGTGGAAGTGGAAGCGGAAGCGGAAGTGCCAGCGGAAGTGCAAGTGGAAGTGCCTCTGGAGATATCGACAGTGGAAGTGGAAGTGCCTCAGGAGATATTGACAGTGGAAGTGGAAGCGGAAGTGCGAGTGGAAGTGGCAGTGCCTCTGGAGATATTGACAGTGGAAGTGGAAGTGGAAGTGCCTCTGGAGATATTGACAGTGGAAGTGGAAGTGGAAGTGCTTCTGGAGATATCGACGGTGGAAGTGGAAGTGGAAGTGGCAGTGCCTCAGGAGATATTGACAGTGGAAGTGGAAGCGGAAGTGCGAGTGGAAGTGGCAGTGCCTCAGGAGATATTGACAGTGGAAGTGGAAGTGGAAGTGCCTCTGGAGATACTGACAGTGGAAGCGGAAGCGGAAGGGCAAGTGGAAGTGGCAGTGCCTCTGGAGATATTGACAGTGGAAGTGGAAGTGCCTCAGGAGATATTGACAGTGGAAGCGGAAGTGGAAGTGGAAGTGGAAGTGGAAGTGCCTCTGGAAATATCGACAGTGGAAGTGGAAGTGGCAGTGCTTCTGGTGATATTGACAGTGGAAGCGGAAGTGGAAGTGGCAGTGCCTCTGGAGATATTGACAGTGGAAGTGGAAGCGGAAGCGGAAGTGCCAGCGGAAGTGCAAGTGGAAGTGCCTCTGGAGATATCGACAGTGGAAGTGGAAGTGCCTCAGGAGATATTGACAGTGGAAGTGGAAGCGGAAGTGCGAGTGGAAGTGGCAGTGCCTCTGGAGATATTGACAGTGGAAGTGGAAGTGGAAGTGCCTCTGGAGATATTGACAGTGGAAGTGGAAGTGGAAGTGCTTCTGGAGATATCGACGGTGGAAGTGGAAGTGGAAGTGGCAGTGCCTCAGGAGATATTGACAGTGGAAGTGGAAGCGGAAGTGCGAGTGGAAGTGGCAGTGCCTCAGGAGATATTGACAGTGGAAGTGGAAGTGGAAGTGCCTCTGGAGATACTGACAGTGGAAGCGGAAGCGGAAGGGCAAGTGGAAGTGGCAGTGCCTCTGGAGATATTGACAGTGGAAGTGGAAGTGCCTCAGGAGATATTGACAGTGGAAGCGCAAGTGGAAGTGGAAGTGGAAGTGGAAGTGCCTCTGGAAATATCGACAGTGGAAGTGGAAGTGCCTCTGGCGATATTGACAGTGGAAGCGGAAGTGGAAGTGGCAGTGCCTCTGGAGATATTGACAGTGGAAGTGGAAGCGGAAGCGGAAGTGCGAGTGGAAGTGGAAGTGGCAGTGCCTCAGGAGATATTGAAAGTGGAAGTGGAAGTGGAAGTGGCAGTGCCTCAGGAGATATCGACAGTGGAAGTGGAAGTGGCAGTGCCTCAGGAGATATTGACAGTGGAAGTGGCAGTGCCTCTGGCATTGGCCAATCCACCGAAACTCCAATTCAGTCAACGAGTTCATATGTGACAACAACGGAAGCGGAGGATAGGACCACTACAGGTATAAGATGTTTTTTTGAACAGTACTGGTCTAGGGTGAAATTGTGGACTTCAAGTTAATTGGGGAAAAAATAAGGCTATCATTCATTTCATATTTTTATAACAACTTAGTCGACGTAGTTGATAGCATATCCTTTTTTTTTTACAAAGCAGTTCTTGTCAAGGTATTAGTTTCTGTGGCAGTCCAAATTTTAAGTTGCAGACCAAATACCTGTGTAAAACATAACTGTTGTGCTAAACTACATTTTGCTTAAAATCTATATTGGAAAAAAGAGACAGAAAATATAGATCTACACGTATTGAGCATTTGTTTGATAAGCGTTGTAATCAAGTTTGTAGGTATTGTATAAGTGAATTATGTCAGAGAAGACAAACAGATTTTCAGAAAGCAAAATACATGTAATGGATATTTGTGAAAAATCTTGCAACAAGAACTTATCTTCATATTGTCTAAAGCACAGTTTTAAGAGGAAATATTCATTTCATAGAATACTCACAATTACTATACCTCACAAATTCATGAGGGAGAGCCGAACTGTTTTTTCCGGTCATTTCAACATGCCTTGGGAACTACATTGTAGTTTGTCAACCTCCTATACCCCGGGGAGCTTATATCGACTATCCACCCTCTCATTATGTTATATTTGTATAATTATCTCCTGATCGATTGAATTACAGTTATGGATACCACCGAAAACCCGATTCAGTCAACGAGTTCATATGTGACCAATGTGGAAACGGTCTCTGTTACGGAGGATAGGACCACCCAAGGTATAAAATGCATTTTTCAACACTACTGGTTTAGGGACACATGTTGGACTACATGTCTATCACGGCTATCAATCATTACATATTGTTTAAACAACATAATCCATGTCTTTGATAGCATTAATTTCTTTTAAACAGCAGTTTTTTCCGAGTATTAGGTTAGTTCCCGTATCGGTCAAAATTATAATTCGCGGAACAAATGGCAAATACCTAGTCTACGGGATAGCCACTTGCAAAGCAAGCGTCTATATGACAAAGGCACAGATTCGGCTGTTATTACTCAAAACAAGACTGCGTGTTCACCGCCAGATTCTAACTATTGAGCGGGTGCCTTTCGAGTCTTTGCTAAGCCGCTCTTGTATTAAAAAACAAATATGGCAGCCAATTGACCAATTAACAGCTTGGGCCGGATTTCTGCTCGAAATGGCGTCACAATTTCTTCAGTCGATTTCAGCTGGCTAGCGCACGGTCGCATAAAAACTGCTTGCTCACATCATACCAGACGTTGTTTGTGGAACTTCCTGGCTCCGTTGAACAACGAATGAAAAAGACTACAAATACCTATGTATTAAAGGGAATATACAACATTTGCAAACATCGAAAAATAAAACTACCAAGTTTTTACGAAAGACCTTACTAGGATGTTGGTAAATGACAGTCTCAAGCATCTTGTAAAATTATGGCACCTGGTGTGAATTCATTTTCGAGAAAATGGTATTTTTGTATACATTGTACATTGTACATTTCCAACGGTGGTCGGCCGACCAGCGTTGGAAAAACCTAACTCTTTTTCAACTACTGTTCCAAATTTACCATTTTTTAGTCCAAATTTTGTTTGCTATTGGTTACATGTTCATGAACGGGTGCAGGCCAGCTAGACTGGTTCCCTTGCCTTACAATTTTCCATCATCTATAAATTGATCCATTTTATCTTTTGTGGAGTCAGGGAACCAGACTACTTGAACATTTTTGTTTTTCTTGGTTTTTCCAACCTTTTCGAACACAAAACTTCACAAATGTCAGTGTAACGATATTTGATCTATTATACTAACCCCTTGAATAGTTCATTTCCGACAATTACAGCAAAAGCCAATGATGTACATTCCCTTTTTTTAATAATGTAAAACATAACTGTCCCGGTAAAATACATTTTGCTTAAGATCTTTATGAAACTGTACTGAACAAGAATTTGGTATTATTGTCTACACCGCAACATTGAAACAATTAATTTTATAAAATATTCACAATTACTTACACCTCACACAAATTCCTGAGCGAGAACCGAATTTGCTGGTCCATTCACCATGCCTTGGGAACTAGTTTGCCATTCTCCTATACCCCGGGAGCTTAATATCGACTATCCACCCTCACATTATGTTATATTTGTATAAATATCTCCTGATCGATTGAATTACAGTTATGGATACCACCGAAAACCCGATTCAGTCAACGAGTTCATATGTGACAACACCGGAAGCGGAGGATAGGACCACTACAGGTACATGTATAAGATGTATTTTTCAACAGTACTGGTCTAGGGTGAAATTGTGGACTTCATGTTAATTGGAAAAAAAAATAAGGCTATCATTCATTTCATATTTTTTTTAACAACTTAGTCGACGTAGTTGATAGCATATCCTTTTTTTTTACAAAGCAGTTCTTGTCAAGGTATTAGTTTCTGTGGCAGTCCAAATTTTAAGTTGCAGACCAAATACCTGTGTAAAACATAACTGTTGTGCTAAACTACATTTTGCTTAAGATCTATATTGGAAAAAAGAGACAGAAAATATAGATCTACACGTATTCAAAGCATTTGTTTGATAAGCGTTGTAATCAAGTTTGTAGGTTTTGTATAAGTGAATTATGTCAGAGAAGACAAACAGATTTTCAGAAAGAAAAATACATGTAATGGATATTTGTGAAAAAACTTGCAACAAGAACTTATCTTCATATTGTCTAAAGCACAGTTTTAAGAGGAAATATTCATTTCATAGAATACTCACAATTACTATACCTCACAAATTCATGAGGGAGAGCCGAACTGTTTTTCCCGGTCATTTCACCATGCCTTGGGAACTAGTTTGCCAACCTCCTATACCCTGGGAGCTTAATATCGACTATCCACCCTCACATTATGTTATATTTGTATAAATATCTCCTTATCGATTGAATTACAGTTATGGATTCCACCGAAAACCCGATTCAGTCAACGAGTTCATATGTGACCACTGTGGAAACGGTCTCTGTTACGGAGGATAGGACCACCCAAGGTATTAAATGCATTTTTCTACACTACTGGTTTAGGGACACATATTGGACTACATGTATAATCATGGCTATCAATCATTACATATTGTTTTAACAACATAACCCATGTCTTTGATAGCATTAATTTCTTTTAAACAGCAGTTTTTTCCAAGTATTAGGTTAGTTTCCGTGCCGGTCAAAATTATAATTCGCGGAACAAATGGCAAATACCTACATGTAGTCTTTGGGATAGCCACTTGCAAAGCAAGCGTCTACATGATAAAGGCACAGATTCGGCTGTTATTACTTAAAACAAGACTGCGTGTTCACCAAGAGGATTTTAACTATTCAACGGGCGCCTTTTGAGTCTTTGCTAAGCTGCTCTTGTATTAAAAACAAATATGGCAGCCAATTGACCAATTAACAGCTTGGGCCCGATTTCTGCTCGAAATGGCGTCACAATTTCTTCAGTCGATTTTGATTGGCTAGCACACGGTCGCATAAAAACTGCATGCTCACATCATACCAGACGTTCTTTGTGGAACTTCCTGGCTCCGTTGAACAACGGATGAAACTAAGACTACAAATACCTATGTATTAATGTAAAACATAACTGGCATGGTAAAATACATTTTGCTTTTAAGATCTTTATGAAACTGTACTGAACAAGAATTTGGTACCATTGTCTACACTGCAGCATTGAGAGAAACAATTAATTTTATAAAATATTCACAATTACTACACCTCACAAAAATTCCTGAGCGAGAACCGAATTTGCTGGTCCATTCACCATGCCTTGGGAACTAGTTTGCCAACCTCCTATACCCCGGGAGCTTAATATCAACTATCCACCCTCACATTATGTTATATTTGTATAAATATCTCCTGATCGATTGAATTACAGTTATGGATTCCACCGAAAACCCGATTCAGTCAACGAGTTCATATGTGACAACTGTGGAAACGGTCCCTGTTACGGAGGATAGGACCACCCAAGGTATTAAATGCATTTGTCAACACTACTGGTTTAAGGACACATGTTGGACTACATGTATAATCATGGCTATCACTCATTACATATTGTTTTAACAACATAATCCATGTCTTTGATACCATTAATTTCTAATAAACAACAGGGTTTTTTTTCAAAGTATCAGGTTAGTTTCCGTGCCAGTCAAAATTATAATTTGCGGACCAAATATACCCAATCTACAGGAATAGCCACTTGCAAAGCAAGTGTCTATATATGATAAAGGCACAGATTTGGCGATTAATATTCAAAACAAGATTTTGTGTTCACCTCCAGATTCTGACTATTCAATTGACCAATTGAAAGCTTGGGCCGAATAACTGTCTTGGTAAAATACATTTCGCTTAAGATCTTTATGAAACTGTACTGAACAAGAATTTGGTATTATTGTCTACACCGCAGCATTGAGAGATTCAAATATTTTTATAAAATATTCACAAGTACTTCACCTCACACAAATTCCTGAGCGAGAACCGAATTTGCTGGTCCATTCACCATGCCTTGGGAACTAGTTTGCCAACCTCCTATACCCCGGGAGCTTAATATACCGACTATTCACCCTCACATTATGTTATATTTGTATAAATATCTCCTGATCGATTGAATTACAGTTATGGATTCCACCGAAAACCCGATTCAGTCAACGAGTTCATATGTGACCACTGTGGAAACGGTCCCTGTTACGGAGGATAGGACCACCCAAGGTATTAAATGCATTTGTCAACACTACTGGTTTAAGGACACATGTTGGACTACATGTATAATCATGGCTATCACTCATTACATATTGTTTTAACAACATAATCCATGTCTTTGATACCATTAATTTCTAATAAACAACAGGGTTTTTTTTCAAAGTATCAGGTTAGTTTCCGTGCCAGTCAAAATTATAATTTGCGGACCAAATATACCCAATCTACAGGAATAGCCACTTGCAAAGCAAGTGTCTATATATGATAAAGGCACAGATTTGGCGATTAATATTCAAAACAAGATTTTGTGTTCACCTCCAGATTCTGACTATTCAATTGACCAATTGAAAGCTTGGGCCGAATAACTGTCTTGGTAAAATACATTTCGCTTAAGATCTTTATGAAACTGTACTGAACAAGAATTTGGTATTATTGTCTACACCGCAGCATTGAGAGAATCAAATATTTTTATAAAATATTCACAAGTACTTCACCTCACACAAATTCCTGAGCGAGAACCGAATTTGCTGGTCCATTCACCATGCCTTGGGAACTAGTTGGCCAACCTCCTATACCCCGGGGAGCTTAATATACCGACTATTCACCCTCACATTATGTTATATTTGTATAAATATCTCCTGATCGATTGAATTACAGTTATGGATTCCACCGAAAACCCGATTCAGTCAACGAGTTCATATGTGACCACTGTGGAAACGGTCTCTGTTACGGAGGATAGGACCACCCAAGGTATAAAATGCATTTGTCAACACTACTGGTTTAGGGACACATGTTGGACTACATGTATAATCACGGCTATCACTCATTACATATTGTTTTAACAACATAATCCATGTCTTTGATACCATTAATTTCTAATAAACAACAGGGTTTTTTTTCAAAGTATCAGGTTAGTTTCCGTGCCAGTCAAAATTATAATTTGCGGACCAAATATACCCAATCTACAGGAATAGCCACTTGCAAAGCAAGTGTCTATATATGATAAAGGCACAGATTTGGCGATTAATATTCAAAACAAGATTTTGTGTTCACCTCCAGATTCTGACTATTCAATTGACCAATTGAAAGCTTGGGCCGAATAACTGTCTTGGTAAAATACATTTTGCTTAAGATCTTTATGAAACTGTACTGAACAAGAATTTGGTATTATTGTCTACACCGCAGCATTGAGAGAATCAAATATTTTTATAAAATATTCACAAGTACTTCACCTCACACAAATTCCTGAGCGAGAACCGAATTTGCTGGTCCATTCACCATGCCTTGGGAACTAGTTTGCCAACGTCCTATACCCCGGGGAGCTTAATATACCAACTATCCACCCTCACATTATGTTATATTTGTATAAATATCTCCTTATCGATTGAATTACAGTTATGGATTCCACCGAAAACCCGATTCAGTCAACGAGTTCATATGTGACCACTGTGGAAACGGTCTCTGTTACGGAGGATAGGACCACCCAAGGTATTAAATGCATTTTTTAACACTACTGGTTTAGGGACACATGTTGGACTACATGTATAATCACGGCTATCAATCATTACATATTGTTTTAACAACATAATCCATGTCTTTGATAGCATTAATTTCTTTTAAACAGCAGTTTTTTCCAAGCATTAGGTTAGTTTCCGTGCCGGTCAAAATTATAATTCGCGGAACAAATGGCAAATACCTAGTCTTTGGGATAGCCACTTGCAAAGCAAGCGTCTACATGATAAAGGCACAGATTCGGCTGTTATTACTTAAAACAAGACTGCGTGTTCACCAAGAGGATTTTAACTATTCAACGGGCGCCTTTTGAGTCTTTGCTAAGCTGCTCTTGTATTAAAAACAAATATGGCAGCCAATTGACCAATTAACAGCTTGGGCCCGATTTCTGCTCGAAATGGCGTCACAATTTCTTCAGTCGATTTTGATTGGCTAGCACACGGTCGCATGAAAACTGCATGCTCACATCATACCAGACGTTGTTTGTGGAACTTCCTGGCTCCGTTGAACAACGGATGAAACTAAGACTACAAATACCTATGTATTAATGTAAAACATAACTGGCATGGTAAAATACATTTTGCTTTTAAGATCTTTATGAAACTGTACTAAACAAGAATTTGGTACCATTGTCTACACTGCAGAATTGAGAGAAACAATTAATTTTATAAAATATTCACAATTACTACACCTCACAAAAATTTCTGAGCGAGAACCGAATTTGCTGGTCCATTCACCATGCCTTGGGAACTAGTTGGCCAACCTCCTATACCCGGGGAGCTTAATATACCGACTATCCACCCTCACATTATGTTATATTTGTATAAATATCTCCTGATCGATTGAATTACAGTTATGGATTCCACCAAAAACCCGATTCAGTCAACGAGTTCATATGTGCCCACTGTGGAAACGGTCTCTGTTACGGAGGATAGGACCACCCAAGGTATTAAATGCATTTTTCAACACTACTGGTTTAGGGACACATGTTGGACTACATGTATAATCACGGCTATCAATCATTACATATTGTTTTAACAACATAATCCATGTCTTTGATAGCATTAATTTCTTTTAAACAGCAGTTTTTTTCCGAGTATTAGGTTAGTTCCCGTACCGGTCAAAATTATAATTCGCGGAACAAATGGCAAATACCTACATGTAGTCTTTGGGATAGCCACTTGCAAAGCAAGCGTCTACATGATAAAGGCACAGATTCGGCTGTTATTACTTAAAACAAGACTGCGTGTTCACCAAGAGGATTTTAACTATTCAACGGGCGCCTTTTGAGTCTTTGCTAAGCTGCTCTTGTATTAGAAACAAATATGGCAGCCAATTGACCAATTAACAGCTTGGGCCCGATTTCTGCTCGAAATGGCGTCACAATTTCTTCAGTCGATTTTGATTGGCTAGCACACGGTCGCATAAAAACTGCATGCTCACATCATACCAGACGTTGTTTGTGGAACTTCCTGGCTCCGTTTAACAATGGATGAAACTAAGACTACAAATACCTATGTATTAATGTAAAACATAACTGGCATGGTAAAATACATTTTGCTTTTAAGATCTTTATGAAACTGTACTGAACAAGAATTTGGTACCATTGTCTACACTGCAGCATTGAGAGAAACAATTAATTTTATAAAATATTCACAATTACTACACCTCACAAAAATTCCTGAGCGAGAACCGAATTTGCTAGTCCATTCACCATGCCTTGGGAACTAGTTTGCCAACCTCCTATACCCCGGGAGCTTAATATCAACTATCCACCCTCACATTATGTTATATTTGTATAAATATCTCCTGATCGATTGAATTACAGTTATGGATTCCACCGAAAACCCGATTCAGTCAACGAGTTCATATGTGACCACTGTGGAAACGGTCCCTGTTACGGAGGATAGGACCACCCAAGGTATTAAATGCATTTGTCAACACTACTGGTTTAAGGACACATGTTGGACTACATGTATAATCATGGCTATCACTCATTACATATTGTTTTAACAACATAATCCATGTCTTTGATACCATTAATTTCTAATAAACAACAGGGTTTTTTTTCAAAGTATCAGGTTAGTTTCCGTGCCAGTCAAAATTATAATTTGCGGACCAAATATACCCAATCTACAGGAATAGCCACTTGCAAAGCAAGTGTCTATATATGATAAAGGCACAGATTTGGCGATTAATATTCAAAACAAGATTTTGTGTTCACCTCCAGATTCTGACTATTCAATTGACCAATTGAAAGCTTGGGCCGAATAACTGTCTTGGTAAAATACATTTCGCTTAAGATCTTTATGAAACTGTACTGAACAAGAATTTGGTATTATTGTCTACACCGCAGCATTGAGAGAATCAAATATTTTTATAAAATATTCACAAGTACTTCACCTCACACAAATTCCTGAGCGAGAACCGAATTTGCTGGTCCATTCACCATGCCTTGGGAACTAGTTTGCCAACCTCCTATACCCCGGGGAGCTTAATATACCGACTATTCACCCTCACATTATGTTATATTTGTATAAATATCTCCTGATCGATTGAATTACAGTTATGGATTCCACCGAAAACCCGATTCAGTCAACGAGTTCATATGTGACCACTGTGGAAACGGTCTCTGTTACGGAGGATAGGACCACCCAAGGTATAAAATGCATTTGTCAACACTACTGGTTTAGGGACACATGTTGGACTACATGTATAATCACGGCTATCAATCATTACTTATTGTTTTAACAACATAATCCATGTCTTTGATACCATTAATTTCTAATAAACAACAGGTTTTTTTTTTTCAAAGTATCAGGTTAGTTTCCGTGCCAGTCAAAATTATAATTTGCGGACCAAATATACCCAATCTACAGGAATAGCCACTTGCAAAGCAAGCGTCTATATATGATAAAGGCACAGATTTGGGGATTAATACTCAAAACAAGATTTTGTGTTCACCTCCAGATTCTGACTATTCAATTGACCAATTGAAAGCTTGGGCCGAATAACTGTCTTGGTAAAATACATTTCGCTTAAGATCTTTATGAAACTGTACTGCACAAGAATTTGGTATTATTGTCTACACCGCAGCATTGAAAGAAACAATTGATTTTATAAAATATTCACAAGTACTTCACCTCACACAAATTCCTGAGCGAGAACCGAATTTGCTTGTCTATTCACCATGCCTTGGGAACTAGTTTGCCAACCTCCTATACCCCGGGAGCTTAATATCGACTATCCACCCTCACAATATGTTATATTTGTATAAATATCTCCTTATTGATTGAATTACAGTTATGGATTCCACCGAAAACCCGATTCAGTCAACGAGTTCATATGTGACCACTGTGGAAACGGTCTCTGTTACGGAGGATAGGACCACCCAAGGTATTAAATGCATTTTTCAACACTACTGGTTTAGGGACACATGTTGGACTACATGTATAATCATGGCTATCAATCATTACATATTGTTTTAACAACATTATCCATGTCTTTGATAGCATTACTTTCTTTTAAACAGCAGTTTTTTCAAAGTATCAGGTTAGTTAGCCTGCCAGTCAAAATTATAATTTGAGGACCAAATATACCCAATCTACATGTACGGGAATAGCCACTTGCAAAGCAAGCGTCTACATGATAAAGGCACAGATTCGGCTGTTATTACTCAAAACAACACTGCGTGTTCACAGCCCAACACCTCACACAAATTCCTGAGCGAGAATCGAATTTGCTGAAGCCAGCCTCCTATACCCTGAGAGCTTAATAATGACTATCCACCTCAAATCATATTAGTACAATATTTCCTGATGAATTGAATTGCAGTTATGGATTCAGAGCCACCAAGCATAACGTGCCCAGCTGCCATAGCTACAAATGCAGAACCAGGAAAGGACTTTGGATATGTCACATGGACTCCTGAGGTACCAACAGCGATTGATGCTGTTAGTGACGCAGTGAGTGTCTCTTGCTCAACCCCAGATTCCAATGAAGTAGTGTCTGGAGATGCATTCCAAGTTGGTGCAACTGTTGTGACTTGTGAGGCAGCTGATGATGCTGGTAACCGGGCATCATGTACCTTCGTAGTCTCTGTCAATGGTAAGTTTTAACCTATAGTCCATTATCAACTTAGGGCTACCTTGATTTTTTTCCCCATTCAATCAATGTTACCGAAGTGAGGCTGGACGTAAAATTAGTCTGGTCCCTTTTTGTGGCAGGAAAAAAAATCATTCAATTCTGTCTTTGGATACAAGGAACATGACTGAAATGGTGTCAGCATGATAAAGGTGCTAGTGTTTGAGTGCTACCATTTCTTAAAGTTCCACAAATTAAAGTTCCTCAAGTCCACAATCTGGACTTGAGACGAATAATAAAAACATAAGCGAATACCGAGACAAAAGGCCGGAATAAGCAAATTCGTTATTTCAATTACCCGAGGTCATTCGGGATAAACATCGCTGACCCGATGTTACGCGCACATCCAATCTGCTTGTTATTGACACGCAAGCGTCGTGCACATGCACCTTTGATCCTTCGATTATCTCGAATGACCCGCAACCACAGCCCGTGACCCATATCGTTGCACATGCGCAGTTGAAATACCAAACTGGCTTATTCAAAGACCGGCAAACTCTGAATTTCAGAAGGTATCTCTGACACATAGTGTAGGCTTCTGGTTGTACCCCATCATACATGTAAACAAGAACACTTTTATAGGAGGAACTGTAACGCTTTTATACTGCCAATTAAAGAAAAAAAACCTTTTTCCTCTTTTCTCACAGGAACCTGTTTCATTCCATTCGGGCCAGATGCAGGAGATCAAGTCCTCTCACCAATTGTAAGTCCCTTTGCTTAGTACTTCTCTAACAAATACTATCTGCCTAGTAAGTAAGTAGAGTCTGTCACGAGCCAATGTGGCCCATCAGGCCGATGTTAATCTCCGGTTTCAGTACCATGAAACGACTGAGAATATTTCTACTATAACGGGACGGCATGCTATAGTCCTTCGCAGGTTACTCCCCAGCTAACGCGAGTACCCATTTATACTCCTGGGTGGAGAGAGGCAAGTGGGGACGAAGTGGCTTGCCCAAGGACAACCTATCGGTATGACCTTCAGCTGGATTCGAACCTCTGACCCCAAGATCATGAGTCTCGAACCCTGATCACTAGGCCACACTCCCCGGGAGATAGTACGGAGCACCTGAAGGGAGTAAGGGATAGCACGGAGTGCTTAAAGGGACACTGAAAAAAACATTTAAAACAAATAAGAACAATTTATGTTCATTATTTTGTGTGTTTGTTTCGAGCGCACGAAATGATTTAGAGTGCATCTAATTGACATGAAATCATTCTTTCATGTTTGAAATTATTTTTCGAATTTCCATTTGGGGGCTCCGTAGGTTAATATTAATCAAGTGAATACTGTAAAATAACAATGGGTGTTTTAATTGCAACAGAACAAAAGTGCTCCTTAACTGTGAAGGGACATTTCAAATGTGAAATGTCGAGACGCAGTTCCACAACAAACTAGGCAATTGACAGGCCTGTTCTATGTAATGTCCAAGAAGAAGAAATTCACATTTTAACACCATGTAATATTCTCAGTAATGTCCATAAACTGTTGAAAAAAAGAAGACATTTGTTCTTTGTGAGGGTTCCTTCAGCTTGTGGTCTATTTGGTTGTCTCTGTTACAACTGATAATGTAACAATCAACGGATAATGTATCACCAACTGATACTGTAACAACAATAGACCGATACAGTATCACCAAGGGATAATGTAACAATAATTGACTGATAGTGTAGTAAATGTTATAACACTATCAGTTACTTTTTGTTACATTATCGGTAATTAGTATTGATGATGTAACAAACATTGACTGATGGTGTAGTACATTCTACTTTACTTGCGGTAAAGTTTTGATACATTATCGGTTAGTGATACAGTTTCGGTCAATTTTTGTTACATTATTGGTTGGTGATACGTAATCCGGTGGTTATTACATTATCAGTTAAAACAGACTCCAAGTTTTCTGTGAAAATTGTCTTGTGTGACTTGACCACATTTTACGTGTTTTCGATTATTTTAGGATGCAGTCGGAGATCGAGCAAAGGATTTCGTTTCACCGCTGTTTTCCCCGAGAACATATTTCCCATATTGCAACCACCTGTATCAGAATCTCTATGTAAGTACAGTTGATGTTATAATTCACACTGTTAATTGCAAGCAAACAGTCATGAGCTTTCAAACATTCATGTGCCTGTGCTCTCCACGAAGTGGGGCATATTTGGCAAAAACATGTGATCGCTTTCTTTGCAGAACTCGGCGCCACTGAGTAGATAAGGGACGCCACATGAATGAATCGCGGCCAAACAGAAGCCTTATCGAACGAGAACAACAAGTTTAATGAGACAGTATAACACACGAGGTGAAAAAAAGATGGCTGCGTCCGTGGGATAGAGTAACATGACGCATGAGGGCGCTATAACCAACTTGCGCAGGGCGCTCTTTTAAGAACCGAATTCGCATCATGTCTTAGTGTCGAGTACAATTAGGCTTGCTTTAAAGTAATAACTGCATTGTGGCACAGATGGTGGTAACCATTATAGACCAATCCGGGCACGCTACCAGTTCTATCACAAAGGCCCCCTTCAATGGCGTAAGCATTGGGTTAGCTTTTGACAATCGGTATATACCGGAATATTAAAAACATGTAGGAATTGTTAACCCAAGTGCAAATCAGATGTGTTACAGACTGGTATATTGGACATATTTCGTGAAAGTTTCATGTATATCCATTGTACCATTTTGAAGAAAAGCGCTAGCAAGGAACACACGCTAGTCTGACCACGGTTCCATGGTTCAACAAATTTATTCAAATTGCGTACTGATGTGAATCAGTGTGATGACAAATAGAAACCGAGTCACGGTGACTGACTCACTTGACTTAATTGACACATTTAACAAGGGCAAAACCAATTCCGTGTGTGGACTGGAAATGAGCCGCTTCAATGAAAATGGCATAACTCCTCACCACAGCCACTTATTTAAAAACAAAACCAAAATTCCCGTGGAAGACAAGGTACATTGTAATATCCATTCGTATGAAACACCAAGCGTTTTCTTAATTTACTCTTTTTGTCACAAAAAAAAGAGAGTTGAAATTGGGTACAAATCACTCTGACTCACCCTGTATGTATACGGTAGGCCCTTTTTTATCTCCCCGTGTCAATGATTAAATTACTAATTAATTGATTGATTGGTTAATTTCTGTCATCTAGTTCAGCGACAATGGAGTTATTATCTTACTGGACAGCGGATCATATGAAGGCTATGCTTACCCCAGCACAGACAGTTCAACATTCAATTCCCTAGACAACACTGCCATTGTTGCACCGTTCTGGGCAGATGTGAAAGGTAGTCTCCTGACTAGTTTGGAAAGTAATGTCTTCTATCAGGTGAGTATTTCGTAACGTATTAATTAACATCTTCTCTCAGGCTAGTATTAAGTAACGTAATGAGTAACGTCTATTACTATGTACAGGGTGACCCACAAAAATGCAAACCTGAAACATTTTAATTTTTATGTTTTGGATGTCGGATTAAAGCAGCGAGTTTTTTTTCTTTCAAATACCAAAAAAGTCATGAAAACAGCATATTGGGTTGCTGAGAGAAAGCAATTACATGTAAAGGAAGTATTTTTTTCATCCTTTCTAATAGTGTTTTAAACAGAGAAAAATTGTACTGTAAGCCCACTGTGCAACTGTCTTTCTTTTGTGCAATATCTTTAATATTTTGACATATTTGTGATGCTAAAAAGGTTTAAAATAGAACTAAAAAGGATGAGATACCTGGTCAGGTGGAAAATAAAACGTATTCCACCAAAAATCTAATTTGTATTCTTGCTATATTAGGTGCCGTGTTGTTTGTAAGGATTAGGACACATTGTGCCACATGCATTTCATGCACAAATAGGTACAGTGTAAATCCCTTAACTGTGGTAAGACCTTTGGAATGGACCAAAGATGAGTTGTTTTACATTATTGGGTTTTTTCTCAGCAACCTAATAGTGTGCTGTTTTCATGATTATTTTAGTATTTGAAGAAAATAACCTCCCAGCTTTAATCTGATATCCAAGACATAAACATTCACAGATCACGTTTTTGATCAAGGCAAATGTTTCAGGTTTACATTTTTGTGGGTCGCCCTGTAAAGCAACGTCTGTAGTTACCTCTTCTGCTATAGTAAATAATAACTTTTTAGATGGTAAGTATTTAGTATCTTCTTTGTAGTATTTAGCTTAGTCTTTAGCTGCGTTATTAGATCAATTACCGGTATATCAATAAGTAGCCTATCAAAAGTATTGATTCTATTATGTCTCCTATCCAGTAAATGTATTGAGTAACTTTCTGTCAACTGAATTTAAGTAGTCTCTTCATTAACATCTTCTATCATAAAAATATGAAGTAACGTCTTTAACGTCGAGTTTATCAGGAAAGAATAAGGTGACGTTTGTAGTAACATGTTCTCTCCATCCATATTTCGTCATCAATCAATTGAAGAAGGTTAATTCAGTTACGTCTTCTGCCAGTACAACGTTCCTAAGGAATATCTAATACCAAAATAATACTTAATTATGTCTTTTGTCACGTTAGTATCCGTAAGTTTAGTATTAGTAGTAAGTAGTAACTGGTAAAATCTTCTATCAGGTTCATATTTTTAACTGAAATATTAATCCAATTTGAATGTCTTTAGGACTGTCTTAGCAACGACTTCTCTCATGTACCTTAAGGGCATTTAAGCCAATTACTAACTAACATTGTCTTTCCCTGTTTCGAAAGTGCAATGTACATTGGTGATTTGAACTTTACCACCCCAAGCAATTATATTTGATCCTGTTTTTCTGATCCTGTTTTTCTGATATTTGATCCTGTTTTTCTGCCAGGTGTATGACTCCTCTAGCTCCAACGCTGATCAAGCTAGAATGATGGATTTGGTGAGCGCAAGGGTGAACGCAAATCCTGCGCACAGCAACTTCACGGCAAATTGGATGTTGGTGATCACATGGTATAAAGTGCCAGCTATTTCACCCGATCTGGTAGGTTTTTGGCTTCAACCATGCCATTAATGTCTAGTTTCTGTAGAGCCGGCTTTCTATTTGTTAGAATACTGTCTTTAACGAAAATAACCGATTTAGCGCAAGTGTACACGAGCGTCACTTCGTGAAAACGAAAATCGCTCGGTTCTGTAAAATACGCGCGCGTAGCGAGCACTCAAGTCCACTTCCAGGGTGTTATTACTTCGTGGTGTCACTGACGATATGTATACAGTGTATACATTGTTTATACTTTAACGTTTTCTTTTGTAGGCGACAAACACTTTCCAAGCTGTGCTGGCTACCGATGGGGTGCATAGTTTCGTCCTCTTCAGCTACGCTAACATGAACTGGGACGCCACTTTGCTTGGCAACGACAAGGTTATTTCGGGTTTCACGTGTGGCGGTGGGGGCCAGAAAACTTACATCAATGTCCCCTTCTCCATGCGTTACCGACCCGACCAAGTTACGGGAAACACCGGAGAGCTTGGCTGCTGGATCTTCCAGATGGACAACAATCCATCGGACTTTGTCAACCCGCGCCAGTTTTGCTACGACTGGCACAGCCGCCAAGATTCAAGCACATTTTTCAATCTGATAAATCGTAGACAATGGCAGCGCAACATATGTCCCTGTTCTGCAATCTGGTTGCAATTCGATAGAAGATTTACCTTTATATTCCCCTCCGTTGTTCTACCTTCATCTTCAACTCCACGTGTCGGTAAGACAAAGTTAAAGCGTAAAGAGGTGTAAAATGTTGAGCACAAAATAAGTTCACTGATTTAAGAAAATTTGCCCAGTTTGCAAGTTTTTCTCCTTTTTTTCATGCTGAATTGATTTCGATTTTACAAGCAAAAAAAGGGTATTAAGTTGTTAATGTATGTGGTCATTTATTTTGATTGCGTTTGTTATTGGGCCATTCTATAAATTTGATAACACCTGACCTGTGTATAATTTGACATGGAAATCTCATTGAAATTGACTTCAAACTATTTTTTCATTCAATTTGTTTAGCAGGTACTTTGCATTACATAATCACTCTTGGAGGTCGAAGGCGTTAAAGAATGAGTCATGTACATGTAGTTACAACATGTTTTGTCAGATGTAACAGGTGCAAAACAATTGGACCATATTTCGTCGCGTCAGTGCAACAAGGTCGTATCTCCTAAAATGGCATGAACGACGCAAAACGCGAGTTTTAGAATGTCAAAAGGTCGTATCTCGCTTAAAATAACCCGGATGTACACGCAAAGTCAATGGACGTCGAGATACGACCTTGTTGCACGGAGCGTATTTGCGCGAGATACGACTTTGTTGCAGAATGGAGATATGAACGCAAAACGCGAGTTTTAGAATGTCAAAAGGTCGTATCTCGCTTAAAATAACCCGGATGTACACGAAAAGTCAATGGACGTCGAGATACGACCTTGTTGCACGGAGCGTATTCGCGCGAGATACGACTTTGTTGCAGAATGGAGTTACGACCTTGTTGCACTGACATGACGATTTATAGTATGACCTTATTGCGTCGCTGTTTTGCACATAAGGATTCTTCTGAATAATAAGGAACCCTGTATGCAAAATGACATTGTTTTCCTTTCAACATCTGGACAGCCAACCAGTTCTGTGTAATGTCAACATTACAATCCCCTGGCTTTCCTGGAGTGAAGTGTTGTTACAATGGATTTGGATTTCTATCTGATGAAGTTGGTGCATTGGAGGCCAGCCGTATGGAAGTGAGCCCGTACAACCCATGGTGGTTCAACAATGACTTATACCAACAAAATTTTGGTGAGTTGATTTTTCTGTTGGTTGAGTTCCTTTAATTTGCCCTTTGGATTGCATGCTAGTTAACCAGTGTTTAATTTTGTTCACTAACCCACACTGAAGTTGTATTCTCTGTCTATTTTTGGAGTTCTATCCCCCCCCAAAAAAAAAAATACAACTACATGTATATTCCTGTTCAGATTGCTATTTTTTTTAGAATAACATTTTTCGTTGTGTATAGTTTGAATCCTACACGAAGATTAGAAAGGTTGGCAATTCAGAACACGTGTCATGTTTAATTACAATGGCCATTACAAATTCAGCCTTGAATGAGACTAGTCATTCTTGCCTTAATGCTTTACCATCAAATGGTCTGGAATTTCATTTCCACAAATACAACAACAAAAAAGTGCTAAAATACGACTCAGCTCCTGGCATGTTTCACGGCTTAATGTCTTCAATGATCGGAAAAAAACAAGATAAATAAAAAAAATATATATTAAATCTGCTGTTACATTCAATCCATTCCGAAGACCTACTGTGGGCGTAGAGTGATAAAACATCGGCACTACTGAGTAGGCCTAAAAAGCAGGGGGCGTAGGCCTGATTTTTTCAGGAGTAAGGTTGACAGATCTTTTTTTCATGGGCTCTCTGCAAGCATAGGCCTAGAGTGCTCATGGTATGCATCAGTAACCGGCAAAGCCAACAGCCTGTATTGAAATGTACATTCCCAAACTGAACAACCTGATTCAACATCAGAGCAAGTCAATCAGGCGTGTTACCAATGGGCGCCGCCGGGATGTTTTTCTAGAGGGGGGGGGGGGGGGGGGGGCAAAGCACATTTCCCCCGCAAAATCATTGTACTTTATCAAGCATATTGTCAATTTATCATATTTTTTTCCAAGGGTGGGCGGAGGTGGGGGGGGGGATTTGCCCACCCCACCCCCATTGAGAACCCTGCGGCACCCATGTTGTTAAATATGCATTAAATTTACAGCAATATGACTTTTTTTGGAGGGGGGTGCTTTTCCGGGGGGGGGGGGGGGCAAGCGCCCCCCTAATTGTCCCTCCCTCACGACGCCCATGCGTGTTTGTAAGTGTCTTAGGGCTCATTAAATTGTATCAGGGAAGGACAACACCTAATGTCAACATCCTTGATGTTGGCAATTCTTTGAACTATTTACAGTGGAAGATATCCTGCCTCGTTTCTACTGTTGCGAGGAGAGCGACCTCTGTCATCTTTACCAAGACCAGCGCCCAAGAGCACAGTGTTACTTTCGAAGCCCTGGGAGAGTAGGTATGTTTATTGGCTCATGTTTATTGGCTCATATTGAGTAAAAGACATAAATTTATCGTTTACAGCAATTGCTGGAAGAATAGTATTGAAGAGGGTTATGCATTATGAACCCAATGCAAACTGTATTACATGTAGGTGTCATTAAGGGAATAGAACCGGTCCACTAAAGCGCCACCCCAAGAGGTTGTCACCAATCACAGCCATGATTGACGCCCGACATGCGTGCACTAGTGTCCGACATGCGTGCACTTAGATTGTTCCCCGGCCTCCCTAAAAAAAAATAAGCATGATTGTTTATTTTGAATCACTATTCAATTCAAATTCAATTCAAGACGACATTTATTTCATAACTCCTTTAGAGAAAGACATCAATAGCAACATAATATATTCGATAAATATGTCACACAAAAATGTAATAAAAGTAAAATACGCTATGAAAAAAAAGATAAACTGACTATTCAGCTTTGTGAATGGATGATAATTTAACACAATCATGGCTATCAAAAAAATGACTCTTGTCTTTCTACAGAAAGTACGCAAAATCACCTTTGTCTCCATTAAGGCAACATTCAAGCATTTTGTTGCATACCTGTAGGTTCCAAATACGGAATGGTTCTTTTATTGATACTTACAAGAGACACTTTTGACTTCAGTAAAACAAAATCGAAGCTCATCAAGTCTGAAATTGCACGTTCATGGCCTATTGCCATTTTGCAGTAGGCTGGTTGCGCGCAAACATCACTGTGATTTTGAATTCCGGGTGCCGGATTCAGACCTTTGCACGTCCTACATAATCCTCCAAATGTACGCATGATTCACTGCAAGCTACATGTACCTGTCCCATATTATTTGAAATTCCCAACAGGAAACCAGACTAGCGTGCCCTTGCTATGAAACCCGAGGGGTGCACGTGTTTTTGCCCACACGCAGTGCAGTGTGTGGGTCCTAATGGATACCGTAGGTCTATAACGTAGCCATGTTGTTTCGTGATATACCGGTACACGATTGAATGTCAGCTTTTTTTATAGACAAGACAGGTACTTCATGATGTATTCCCTTCTCTTTGCCAGGTTGGTTTTGGGGTGATCCCCATATTACCACATTGGATGGTGTCGAGTACACATTCAATGGTCTAGGGGAGTTCACGCTCGTTGAAATTGAGGAGACCGGATTAACGTTTGAACTGCAGGCAAGAACGAAACGAGTCACGGACGCCGAGACTCAAGAACCGACTGATGCTACATACTTCACGGCCTTTGCTGCAAGACACGGCAGCAACAATCGGGTGAGGTTTAACAATAATCTGTATAGCTTCTGTTTAAAACATGATGTAAAGACATCATTCTGATGCCAATTGCAACTGCAAAACATACTATGCAGCGCCATGCAAATGCACCTTGCACCTGTATCAATGTTTCTCCAGGAAACGATTTTTCTCTCCAAGTATGCTGTTATATCTAACATGTTTCATTTAACAGATTGAAGTCAAACTCAATGACGATGCTACTGACCTTGTAACAACTGTGAATGGAAACGTTGTTGCACTCACAAGCATTGGTAAGCCTTTCAATTAGCCACTCCCCTAATTGATCGTCTGCATGACATACTGTACATCTACATGTATGAGGTACAGTGCTTATTATGTTAACATGTACCATCCATACCCCACACCATTCAGGGTCACAATGACACTTCTCCGAGTCCAAATCACACCTACAGATCATTTTCTGCGTCGCTTATTGGACCCTGACACCTTGGTAAAAGTGTCATTATGAGCCTGAACAGCATCAGGTCAGATCCTACCCGGATTCCGGGTCAGGTCTTACTCGGATTCCGAGTCAGATTTCATCCACATTCTGAGTAAGATTTGATTAAGATTCCGAGTCATATTTTGACTAGGGTTCTGAGTAAGATTTGACCCGGATTCCAAGTCAGATTTGACCCGGATTCCGAGTCAGATTCGACTGGGATTCTGAGTCAGATTTGACTCGGATACCAGGTCAAATCTGACCCAGGACTTAAGAGTGTAATTTTGTCACTCTAAGGCATGATCTACAGAAATATCAACAAATCTAAGCATACCTGTTTTTCCTTTCTGAAGCGTCGGAATTTGACGACTTGACCGTACTCCGGGAAGCCACATCCCCATTCAGGATACATGCAGACTGGACTTCGGATATCCAGTTACTTTTCCGAGTTGCCAATGGCATAGCTGATGTTGAAGTCGTGCTTCCCAATACTCTAAAGGGCAAGATCAAAGGACTTTTGGGTAAGTAGAATACTTAACCAAGCAAAATCAGTAAGTTAATTGTGATAGTTAAGGTCTTTTTTCCATTGTACGTATGAAAGACACCATTTAGTGCAACAAAATGCCCCCAAACCACGCTGCCCAAAAAAGCACCAGGAGCAGCAGCAGCAGCAGCAGCAGCAGTAGCAACATCAGCAGCAACAGCAGCAACAGCAACAGCAAAAGCAGCAGCAGAAACAGCAGAAGCAGCAACAGAAGCAGCAGCAGCAGAAGCAGCAGCAGAAGCAGCAGCAGCAGCAGCAGAAGCAGCAGCAGAAGCAGCAGCAGAAGCAGCAGCAGCAGAAGCAGCAGCAGAAGCAGCAGCAGAAGCAGCAGCAGCAGAAGCAGCAGCAGCAGCAAGCTTTGTGAAGTCTTCAACAAACATGTCCTAATTTTTGTCTTTGTTGAATGAGCGACACACTTAACACTGACCACACCAACTATACAGGTCGTAGGTCAACTTGCTCAATATTCTATAGCTACTCACAAACAAAATGGCAGTGAACTAGTTTGATGCCACAGAGTGCAGTTTTTGTAGTAGTCATTGGTATCATAAGCATTTTTTATCGTGGGTGTTAAGTAGCTACGTTACTTTTCAACAGGTCAATGGGACGACGATCCTAGTAACGAGGCCCTACGGCGAGATGGGAACATCCAACAACCCACAGGACCAAATAACAAAATGCTGGAAAGCGATTACTTTGAGTTTGGCACGACCTGTGAGTTCCTTCAGAATGTTCCACATATTTTTAATGAAACGTTCAAAGTGAAGAATTTGTGATACAAAAATCGGTTGGAGCAGCCAATACTTTTGCCCTAACATTTGGAAAAACACGGGTTTCAAAGATGGAGATAACTTGGAGATGGAGATTTCATCCTGAACACAAAATAATTACCACAGTAAGGGATTTTCACTGTACCTATTTGTTCATGTCCTAATCCTTCAAAACAATATGGCACATAATATGACAAGTGTAAAATTGAATTTGAATTAAATACTTTTTATCTTATTCATCCTTTTTTTAGTCCTATTCAACATCATAAATATGTCAAAATATTAAAGAAATTGCACAAATGAAGGATAATTGCACAGTAGGCTTGCAGTAAAATATTTCACTGTTTGACGTACATGTGAACTTGTAAAGTGACCGCTTATACATCATTGGCATTTTCTCAGCAACCCAATGTGCAATTTTCATGATTTGTTGAGTATTTGAAAGAAACAGCTCTCATCTACTACCCAAAACATTACAATCCACCGATCCCTTTTTTTAAAGGCAAATGTTTTAGGGTTGCATTTTTTGGGTCACCCTGTACAAATGCACTGCCTGTCTCTCCTCACCAGCCAACAGTCAGTCGGGGAGTCAGTCAGTCAGTCGGGGAGTCAGTCAGTCAGTCATGTTGACCAATGGGGGAGTCAGTTACGTGTAGTCATTAAGTCTTTAAGTCATTAATCAGGTACAGAGTCTGAGAGACCATCAACTGGCCTTCGGGGACCAGCAAAAACGATTAACTGCTATCTCTATTAAATTCTTCTATTCCTGTCTCTCGTCTGACAGGGCGAACGACCCCTGCAACGTCTTTGTTCTACTACGTCAACAACAACGACTGGAACACCTACAACAACCTGGAATTTGTGCCCAAGTTTCTGGAGGACCTTATAGCTGAGGCAACGCCACAGGATCTGGCAGCAGCACAGGAACAGTGCGGCAACAACACCATGTGTCTCTACGATCGCTTGGCATCTCACGATGAATCTATCAGTGGGGCTACACTGATGCAGAGTATTGTGAACGAAGAAACCAATCTCATTATCTGTAAGTTAACCAGCACCCGATTTCACGAAGCCCTGCAACGCGTCGCAACTCGAGTTACGACGTGTAACACGTCGCAACTCTCGTTGCTTCGTATCTTCCATTTCACGAAAATTGCGATCTGTTGAAGCGTCATAAGTGTGTCTGGTGGTCATCACAAAATAAGAAGAGTCATTTCTAAAGCCAGTTTTATGCCATAAACATTACATTAACGAGATTATAATACCGAGGCAATGTGTGTAAAGTTGTAAAATATTCATTGAATAATTATGAATTAGACCGGAATATTAGAGTTGAAATTTCAAAGTAGCTATACAGTCCAATGAGAAATTGTTTTCCTTCAAAATTACATCGCACGGCCGCCATTTTGTTTTACATTTTATCAAATTGCAAGCTGAGATCCAACGACTCTTTGTTAAATATCAAACGACTATTTACTGTACGCTGACTACATGTAAATACATAAAACAGTCACCGAGATGTGCTATAAATACACCTACTACGCGTCGCACTTACAACGTGTTTTGTGAAATGATCGAAGGACGCATCGCAGCTGCGACGCATCGTAGAGATACAACGTGTCGCATCGCTGCGATGCATCGTTAGTTACGATGAGCTTGATGAAATCGGGTGCAGAAGTCACAATCTTGCTCAACTGGCAGGTTTGTGTAACTGTAGTATCCTTACATGATAGCTATACATGTATGTATAGGCACCATGTGCATTACCTTGATCCACATTGGAATGCATAAACCCCAACTTACTACATGTAAAATGAATAAGGCCCCAACTTGGGTAATTTTACACCCTAGAACTACATGTACGTATGTAGCCCTTGATAAGCACAGAACCCTCATGTAATGTATTGAGATGTACTGAGACACAATAAACCAAGCAAGCATCGAAGCAATTATTCATGTGCTAGTGACAAGCTCACTACATTACAGTAACATCAAAATCTAAGAGAGTAATGTTGATCCAAATGTCAATATCCAGAACTTGAAATGTTTATGAAAGTAACACCAGTAACACAAGCTGCAACAGATTCTATAACAGCCCACACATATTTTATTGCAATTTTGAGATCTTTACTAGCATGGGACAAGTAACTTGAAACGTGGTTTGATATTGATGAGTTGTCCCTTTCGGTGCATCTTTGTAGCAAATACGCCACCAAACATCACAACTTCCGTAGAGTCAGTGAACGTCATCGTTGGAGAAAACTTCACCCTTGAGGTAACTGCTACAGACGCTGACGGCCAGGAAATCATATACAACTTACTGGAAGACATTTCAGGAGCATCGATATCCCAGGGTATGTGCACTTTATGAATGAACACTAGTCCCTGAGGCTTCCCTGACATCTACCTGAGAGATACTTCCAAAAGCTCGGACACGAGAAGTAATTTCACTTTAAGGAGAGCCTTCTCCTTAAAGTGAAAGGTGCAGAGGTGGTGTATTAAACACATCCAACTGTTAATGTCTGGAGAGGTGTGTAATATTCATCCTCCACGAACACTAACAAGCCACCATAGCCAGTCAGTCAATGGACACAACTTGGACCCACGGCACAAGACGCACACACGCCAAACTGGCGAAAACCTTTCCCTTCAGGGCAACTGTAAAATTCCCTGAGTTAATTTTCCCTGATTTTAGACTTTGCATTACCGAATTTCCTTTGTTTTCAAATAACTGGAAAAATGAAAACAAATTGTCAAGGTTTTCCCTGATTTCCAGAGAGGCTTGAAACCCTTTCTACCGCGGTCTAATTGCCTTCTACCAAATTGCCACCAAGTCTATTTCTGAAATTCGTGGACCTTATTTAAAGACATAGTCCATCATTTGTAATTTGTGCATTTTGTTCGTTTGAAGCAACAAAAGTGTTCAAAATCTAATGAAGGATACTGAACAACTAACCTGATGAAGTTTCAGCTCAGCTTCAGCTGTATATTCCGAGAAAAACAGCATTCTAGGATCTCAGTTTCAAATCAAAGTTGCTAAATCATGTTTTGAATTGTTTTGAAATGCAGCTTTATGCGATGTCGCGCACTGATCGGACAAATTAAAGCAACCGCGTGCGCCTGTGCCAATGCCTGCGCGCGCTGTGCCGAACAACAAAACAAACTACTAATTTAAAATGCCTTCTTTCGTTGATTTCTTCAAAATGAGAGCTTGCCAGAAAGAATAATTTCACAGGGAGTTTAGTACCCTTACTCTCTTTCAACCAGTATGTTTTTCAACAATAATTACGCCAGTTACTTTTTTGGATAGCTGCAAATGATGGACTCCGGCTTTAAGCAATAAACTCAAATCAGATAAAACAGAAAAGTAAAGGTACATTACACTGTTTGAATGGAAGCTTTGAAATGACAAAAGCATTCTACGTATATGTTTTCAAGTTTCAAATAAAAAAAAGACTTTGTAACTAAATTTGAAAACTATTCCGTATCTCAATTACCCAATTAGAGTAATGTTTTCATTGTCTTGGGTTTATGTTAATAGATGGTGTTTTCAAATGGAATCCGTTGGACAAGACAAAAGTTAAGCTTGGAATTGTAGCATCTGATGGGACGTTCAACACCTCAGTGCAGCCTATCATCAAGTTGTGTGACTGTCAGAATGGTGGCTCGTGCCTCTTTGACCAGTACACGTTGGATAGTAATATAGCCCTGGATAGTTTTGCAGTAAGATTTTGATTATAATTATAATTATTATTAGTTTAATTTTTTTTTTACAAAGGTTTGGTATTTGTCCCCACGTTCAAGTGGCTTATTAAGCATCCATTATGCATGTGTTTCATCACACAGAGGTTTTACAGAATGCTATGGTCCAATGATTATGGTGTTTGACCCATGAGCAGTGGTACGTTGGTTCGAATCCTGATTCATGGTGTTTGTGTTCTTTGGCAAGACACTTTACTGCAATTGCCCCTCTCCATCCAGGATTATAAATGAGTACCTGTGCTGGTAGAAACCAGAATGCGCTGATCTCGAGCTGCCTGCAAAAACTGGTCTCGTGGCCTTATGAACAAGGGTTATAATTGCAAAGTGCTTTTTGACCTTGGGTATAAAGCACTATATAAGCACCACACTATTTTTATAAAATCGTTGCCTCAGATTGTGTCAGATATTTTAGCAATTCACCAATTTACCAATTGGTTGTTGAGAGTGCTCATTGGAATATGGGCCATTCTATAGGTTCCGACATCTATGATTCTATAATTCTGATGCTCCAAGAGTAAGGAATTGCAAACTATCTACCGGTTCCAAACAAATTTAAAAAAAGTTCGAAAGTTTTAATTATACCGGATATTGAATGGCAAATTACAAAGTACCAAGGCAACAGGGACAGGGAAAAAATCACACTTTGGACCCTAAATTTATATGATCCACAACGTTCCAATATCACTATCAATATCAACTGCAATAGTTTTACTATTGAATTTTATTTACATGTATCAAAATGACATTGTGGATTCTTCATCAAAAAATGACTTGGTTTTGCTTTAGATTGTATTATGCGAGTGCCCGGAGGGATGGTCTGGGGACTTCTGTCAGGATAACTACGATGCTTGTGCTGACAATCCGTGTTTCGTAGGTGTCACGTGTATCGACGATGAACCCCCATCTCTCAACAAGACCTGTGGTCCGTGCCCCGAGGGGTTTTTCGGGGATGGCAACTTTTGCGAGGGTACGACAAAATAACATTGAACATTCCACTAATAATGTCACATCACACTGGTACAGGCCTTGTGTCATAGCTTGGCACGTCGGAACATCAGAATTGTAAGAACTCGAGTGACTCGAGTCACATTTTTTGTGAAATCTGTGACGAAATTTTGCTCATTGGCTTAATGACAAAACAACGAATCGCAAAAGAAAAGAAATTTAGTTAGCGACAGCGAATATCAAAAAGTCTGGCAACTTCTGGTGCTGAAATAGTTGTAACATTAAGGTTTCTGCCTGAAATGACATCAAAATTTTGCTCACGAATATGGAAATTTGCATTGGCATAAAAACCAAAAAGGCACCAAAGTACCCTTGAAACTGGCAAAACGAAAATTAAAAAATAGGGCGAAATTGAAACCAAGGTGCATTTTCAAGGATTGCATTACATTTTTTTCATTGCATTGGCCCATTAACTGCAACTCTGATATTAAAGGAAAGTATTTGATGCCTTCTTAAATACACTCGAGTCAGGGAAGGTGGGGAATACTGAAGTTGAGAGAGAATTCATAGTCGGCCTGATGGCCACTTGTTGCAAATGTTGTAGCTCGTTAGTTGGGTACCCTTTGTGGGGTAGGATATCAGACAGCTCAACAGAATGTTGTTAGACATGAAATATTATGTACATGTAAGACACGAAACAAACTATGAGACAGTATATTACAATATATGTTCTGCAAACTCAATGCCACACATGTGAAATAATTTTTAAAAATCTCTCCAATTCTTAACTTTTCCTAAAGCTTAAAAAGGCCATTAAAAATTTCACAGTTTGAAAATAATACTGGGAACTTTAAACTCTATCAATACCAGTTTAACGATTATCATAGTCTATTCTTATTTTTGCTGCACTTCCTATTTATAGATGTCAATGAGTGTGAAATTTACACTCCTTCCAGTGAGGGTGGAATGGGATGTGATCAAGGTTGCGTCAACATCTTAAATGGATTCACCTGTAGCTGCACGGACGGGTACCTGCTGCACGTCGATGGCAGAAGGTGTATTGGTAGGTTGCTTTATTGTGGGGTTCTTTTACAATGAAACACTATATACGGAACAGACTCGCTGCAATACCCTGCAAGAGACATGTCATGCTGTGGCTGACATCTTGGGAAACCCCAACCTCGTCCCCAGGGGTTCGAGCAGTACTTGCCCATCACTACCTGCTCTCTCACCCTGGTATTGGATCACTTGCATGTGCAAGATTTTTGAACACGTATGCAAATGAGGAATAGTCTGGTGCCTGCATGTGGGTTACATTAGCGTTTGGTTTTTGTATGCGGTGTCTGGGGTAAAAACAGAGTCAATTAATTCATCGCAGCGTGACCATGGCGTGAGTTACGGATACGGAAACAGAATTTATTTAATTAACCAAAACATTATGATCTTTATCGAGACAACATGCAGTATCACATTTCATATTAACATGAACAAATTGGAAAGGAAATGAGTATTTTCGAGAAGGCGTGGACGAATGATTGCGAAAACACGTACTGCACGCTGTGAATAACAACACCAAGTACACGATAAAAATGCATTAGGCTTACTAGCCAATTGCGGTATCGAATCAGGATATAGGATGAAAGTTTCTTATCCAGGGCTTAGTTATTGGAATTTAGGTTGGAAATGAAGTAAGCATCGAGGTTGGGAAAACCTTGTATTCAACCCTGCACTTGTAACCTGTAGTTCGTGTCACGCATGCGCAGCTCATTTATAACAACATTAATTACTGATGCACGAAAAAAACTAGTACGCTTTTTCACCCTTTATGTTGCACATTTTCAACGTTGTGGTCCACTACTGATCAAAAAAAGATTATCGATTATTCTTCTTCTCATTTTTTTATCTGTTTACAGATATTGATGAATGTACTTTGGAAACAGACGAGTGTTCTGAGTTTGCAGAGTGTTTAAATGTGCCAGGTGGATACAACTGTACATGTAACACAGGGTATAACGATGACAATGGCAATGGAAGATCTTGCTCAGGTAAGACATGGTTATGCTATACATTGGGTTTTAATGTCAAGCCAAAAAAAGGAGGGCAAAGAGTTAACATTGGGTTTTCAGTCCCTACCTGATTCCGTGGGTTTTCCTCAGAATATTCCTCTGGGCTTTTCCTCCCACTTCTAACACTGTAATTTCTTCTCATTGTCTTCTCTCTACAGGTTTCTCCAGGCTTTCGGGCTACAGTGCCTAGGGCACTTTTGAGGGATCCTTAGTTTCATTACCAGAAAGAAATAAAATAAAAATAAAATAAAATAACACTAAAAAGCCATGTGTTGTATAACTGTGTGCTGGTAAAAATGATAAACAGATAAAATAAACAATTTGCACCCAATCCTATGAAGCCTGGGAAGGGACAGGGTGGAATTTTTTTTTGGAGTTTGCTAATTCGTTCGCACGAATTACTAATTCGTTCGCACGAATTACAAATTCGTTCGCACGAATTACTAATTCGTTCGCACAAATTACTAATTCGTGGGAACGAATTACTAATTCGTGCGAATGAATTAGCAAACTCCAGTAATTCGTTCGCACGAATTACCAATTCGTTCGCACGAATAACTCCAGTAATTCGTTCGCACGAATTACTAATTCGTGCGAATGAATTAGCAAACTCCAGTAATTCGTTCGCACGAATTACCAATTCGTTCGCACGAATAACTCCAGTAATTCGTTCGCACGAATTACTAATTCATTCGCACGAATTACTAATTCGTTCGCACGAATTACTAATTCGTTTGCACAAATTACTAATTCGTTTGCACAAATTACTAATTCGTTGGAACGAATTACTAATTCATGCGAACGAATTAGCAAACTCCAGTAATTCGTTCGCACGAATTACCAATTCGTTCGCACGAATTACTAATTTGTTCCCACGAATTAGTAATTCGTTCCCACCAATTAGGAATTCGTGCGAACGAATTAGGAATTCGTGCAAACGAAATAGCAATTCGTGCGAACGAATTACTAATTCGTGCGAACGAATTACTAATTCGTGCGAACGAATTAGCAATTCGTGCGAACGAATTAGGAAATCCCCCCAAAAAATCCACCCTGTCCCTTCCCGGGCTTCATACAATCCTGTTACAATCTGGTCTAAAGTAATCATTATGATCTGCGCATTTATACAATGTAGTTTGATCTGATTATTAACTGAACATAAAGTTATACCACATTTTCAAAAAAATAACTTAGCAGAAAAAAATCTTGAAGGTTAAATAAAGTAATCATCAGAATGTATACGCATTATGATACATGATTGATGGGACATTTTCACTGGCGTCAACACAAACAAAGCTTCAACATTACTCCTAGTCCTACTGGGTTCACTGTATGAAATAAAATTTGGTAAAATTTGGATAGATCAGTCAATTATTCCCTAACTAATATAGTCTTTCAATAGTCTAATATAATCTGTCTTTCAATCTTCTCTCCATAGACATAAATGAGTGCAATCTACAGAATGAATGCGGCAATAATGCTGATTGCAGAAATACCGCCGGTTCGTATGCCTGCTCATGCCAGGATGGATTCGAGGGCAACGGGGAGACATGTGCAGGTGCTTAGACTGTCATTTTTTATTTCAATTGTACCAACTTATAGTCTAGAGGCTTTGCTCATTTCTTGAGACCATAACAATTTTGCACAGGAACTGCTTGACATGCTGTTTACAACGTTCATTATATTATTCCAAGGGCATATCGTTCCAACTTTTTTCCTCATAGAATTTGACTGTTGGTGATGTTTCTATAATGCTCAAACATTGTTTTCCATTTGTATGGTATAACATCTGTATGACTAAACTCATGTAGGCATACAAAAATGATGCCTGGATACAAATGTACCGTAAGGAAGAACAAGGTTTATCGTCTGGTTAGAAGTCTTGTTTCATGTATGTATTATGTTGTGCAGAGAAACAAACTAGTTCTAATTGGTCGTCACGAAGTCATCCTAAAACCTGATCATGGCGTGGTAGTTGCTAGAAGTATTAGCAAGGGAATATGTGCTTGGGCTGTTTTAAACTAGAACGTTTAAAAGTGGCTTGCGATCTGGGCGTGGAGAGTGGCCCGAGACAATGTGGCGAGAACGCGGCTGTGCCGAGTAGTGCGAATTTAGGACTCTATAAAATACGGACTCTTTGGTAGTATTGCACATACCGAAGTGAAGATTGAACGTTCAACCAAAAAAGGGTAAAAGGGACCAGATTTTAAAAGGAGTCCAAATTTAATGGACACTGAAGAAGTGTTTAAAACCAGCCAGTCAGTGTTTTATCAACCGTTTAAAACCACCCACATGACGGGCTCTCGACCAATAGGAATGGGTAAACTGTCTGAGGAATTTACAAAGTTTAAATAAAACTCTTTTACATTTTACCTGCTCCTCGTTTGTTTTTACCAGATATCAATGAGTGCACCAGATCATTGGATAACTGCCATGAACAGGCCACATGTTCCAATACCATTGGTGGCTTTAATTGTACGTGCAATGAAGGCTGGCTTGGCGATGGAGTCACGTGTGCCAATGAGAATGAGTGCGACCGTGTGGTCAACGTCTGCCACCCGCAAGCTGAGTGCACGGACACGACGGGTAGTTTCACCTGCGAGTGCTCGGCAGGTTATATCGGCGATGGACAAACCTGTTCAGGTGGGTATAGTATACAAATATTGAGTGGCTCAGCGTGGAATGGGAGGAATATTATCGCAAGGTAAAATCTGGATTTTTCCATTTCACGAGGCGAAGTCCAGATTTTACCGAGCCATAATATTCCTCCCATTTCACAATTTAAAGCCACTCAATATTTGTTTTATATAACTGACATATAGATCCTTGTCATTTGATACATTTGGACTCTTTTTCAATACGAAACTGGAGGAAAATCTATTTCTCTAGTCCAAACCACCCCTTCACGAAAATGTTTGAACCCAACGCTGTAGCGCTGGCTCTTTGGAACAATATGCGCTACGCGCAACGCTGAACGCGCACACCAGCATGCATTTGCACACAAATACTGCGTCATGATCCTAACTGTTGAATAGTATTTCCCATTCCCCATGGGCGGATAGTACTTTTTGAGCCGCCGCGTGAATGGGAGCAATAACGAATGTCATGTGATGTGAGTTCCACCAATCAAATGACTAGGATCTGTATGTCAGTTATATAATCTAGGATATAAAAGCCCCGTTAATAAGCTTTCGTTTAGTACAAGTCTCATATGAATCGCTTGTGTACTTTTCAAGTTTCAAAATTTTGAATACAGGCATCGTTTTAAATTTCTGTCCACGGATCACAAAAAGGTATGTGTTCTTTCACCAAAACGAAAAACAATTTACAAACATCCCTATGCAGAACTTCACTAAAAAAACGGTCTCGACATTTGGGTTTTGGGGTTTTTTTACTCACCCTGTACATGTACCCTCAAAAAAAAACTAATTCCTTGTGTTCTTACGAACACATTCAGCGTCACACTGATTTGTCTCTTTTCCTTTTACTGTCAGACATTGATGAATGTGATCTTCAGCTTGATGACTGTGTCCAAAGCTGCAATAACACCGAGGGATCATTTGACTGTTACTGCAGCCCAGGATTTTCACTCGATGCTGACCTCAAAAACTGTACAGGTCAGTACAACTGCTTTATTTGGATATGGCTGAAATTCTCATCTTCCGTTATAATAGTAAAGTAAAGTCTGTCACAAGCCCATCAGGCCGGCGTTTATCTCTGGTTTCAGTAGCATGAAACAACCGAGTATTCCCCCCTGGACGTGATGCTAGTCAATCGCAGGTTACTCCCCAGTTAATGCTGGTAACCTTTCATACTTCTGGGTGGAGAGAGGCAGTTGGGGATGAAGTGGCTTGCCCAAGGACACAACATATGACCAGCAGCTGAATTCGAACCCTTGACCCTCTGATCATGAGTCACAAACGGGAACTACTAATACACATTCCCCACTATAATTATTGAGCACAAGTTAAAAAGTATTCAAAAGGTAACACTTTTTTAAAGTTACTCAGATTGATCACATGATTTGAACTCCTGAACAGTTGTGTGGTTGGCAACGTGTTTTAAACTAACGTGCACTTTTAATTTGTATTATTTTTTGTGGTAGTTCTTTGGGAAAAAAAAGGGCCATGAAAATGCTTATAATAATGTAAATGCAAAACCAATAACAAATTTTCTAATGTTGGCGTATGTACAGTATAGGCTATGTTTCAGATGTGTTATACTGTCTTTTCAAGATGCTTTATGTCATTAATACTTTAAGTAATAATGTGTGATGAATAAGACTGTTTTTTTTTCATTGTTGCATGGTACCGTTTCTATTTGTAATGTATAGCGGACAGTGGGTGTGTCAATGCTACGTGTATCAATGGAGACTGCTATGATGTTGGCGGTGTTGCTAGCTGCATTTGCTATCGTGGATTTGCATCAAATGAGTCGGACCTGATATGCGAAGGTGAGAACGGGTTCTTAAATTTGGAACATTACATGAGCGTACAATTAAGTATACATTTGGATAATAAAGAGTTTCAATGGCTCCTCAACGTGATAAATGTTGGGGTCATATATCCTTGGCGAACTTTACCTACAAATGTACATGTAGATGTTTTCACGTGCATCATACGATTAAGGGACATAATGATTGTGCGAAGAAGACCTCGATAAATGTCATGAATAACACTGTAACAACTTTTAACGTTCAATTTAAAACAATTTTTATGCTCTCCGTTTTGAAATAACGTTGCACACTGTGTAATGTGAAAAAAACAGGCTACATGCATGTATTGATTTTATCAATTTTAATGTTCAAATCCTGTTTTATTGTATTACATGTATTACTCCTACTGGGACCCTTGGGAGATCAGTTCTGATAAAAGGACTGAATTGGCTGCCCAGTATAAAGAAATTATTCAATAAGTAAATAAATTCAAAGTAAGTACACGAGCCGACGTAAATATGCAGCCGTTAAAAGCGAAAATGCCATGTACTCGTTTTATGGAAAAATTATGCAATCGACTACAACACTGGTCAAAATGTACTAATTATGGCTTGCCATATTATGTATGTTCATATGTTATAGACATTGATGAGTGCAGCCAACAACAGCACAACTGTGAGGCGGATGATCTTTGTGAAAACACCATTGGTGGCTACCAGTGCACATGCAGGGATGGGTACATGCTCGATAATGACATGCGAACATGTTCAGGTAAGCAAATAGACATCCTATTCAAAATGATCAAGATGTATATTGTGACTAACTCTGGGAATCCGTTGGTGTAGCAGTTTTGTTGGGATCAACACATCCTAACTCAAAACAGAAGAGAAATGTAATTTTCACACTGATTAAAAGTAGAAACAGACGGGAATAGACTTGCATAGTCAAACATGCAAATTCCTGCAATACCGGTACATTCCTTCTACTTTATGACTTGCAATGTTAGTTATCCCCTTGTGAATTAAAAACGGGCACTTTATTGGGCAATCATGTTTTTCTAAGCTGAGCATGTCCATTGGATGGAAAAAAGCCTTTATTAAGTACAAAACTGTACATTTGGCCACACAATGTCACTGTTACTGATAACGATTTAAATGAAGATAATTTAAGCAACAACTAATATTGTGAAAAAGAAAAACTTTTTTTTGCATCACGTTAATTTTAATTTTTTTTGGAACATTCGAGTGCTTTTCCAAGTTGCATCACATTTCTTTTCTATAAGATTTTAGGCTTTGCATGGTGGAGTATTGATATCGTTTCGGTATGCGGTAACACCATGTGGTAATAACTACATGTACAGTCGAGTCTCGTTAATACAAACTCATTCGGACCCAGCCAAATTGTTTGTTATATCAGAATTTTGTATTAAGAGGAACTTCAGTCCCATTCATTGTGCACATAAATGCACAGTCAGGACTAAGGCTTTATGTTTGTTATAACCAGAATTTATGAACAGAGTTTGTACTTACGAGATTCGACTGTACTGCTTAGAAGATGTTTAGTTCTGAAAAGAACTTGTCCTGCTTTTTGTCGACTTTCGCTAAGTACAGTAGTTTTAGTTCTGATAAGAACAGTCCTGCTTTAAGTTCTTTTAGAACTTAAAGCAGGACTGTTCTTATCAGAACTAAAACCAGTAGTTATACCACATGGTGTTATCGCAAACCGAAACATATTTCTTTTCTATAAATTAGAAAGTGACGATATTTTTTATTATGATTTTGACCAGACATCGACGAGTGTTCGCTACCGCAAAGCGATGCGATGGCTGCTACATGTACGGATAATGCTGTATGCATAAACATCCCCGGCTCGTACAACTGTTCTTGTATCCTCGGATTCGCTGCTAACGATACCGGATTTTGTGAAGGTATTTTTATTCTCCAGTTTTTGCAGCAGCTTATTTGGCTAAATTTCGCAATCTCAAATAAAGATAGTGCAGACGGCAAGACCCTGAAGGAAAATATTTCAGAATAAGCGAAAGAAATTGTAATAAATGTCTTCCCTTAATGAATGCAGGTAACCTCAATTTATGTCTGTTAAAAGCATACCCCTCGCTTATAATACCTACCTGCTTTTATGCAGGAATTTAAAGTAACATCTTCAGAATGTTACGTTGGCTCATTCTTAGGAACTCAGTGTATGTTTTTACCACTTATATGATAATTGATTTGGACATGAATACAAAGACATTAACACACATTTTTCTTCTTCAAAACTGCTAAAATGTACATGTAATTATTCATGTGGTATATCCTTTAAGTGATCAAATTATTACTTTGATTGATTTCTGGTAATGAAACCAAGGATACATCAAAGCGCCTTAGGCACTGTAGCTCGCAAGCCTGCAGAAACCTGTAGAGAGCAGATGCAGGGGTGTGAGTAACCACTGACAAAAAATAGCCGAAAACAGCTGAAAAAGGTGTAAAAAAAAAGCTGAACTTTGGAAATCTCCTATTCTTTGGTACACAGCAAGTGAGGGGAAAAAAACCTGAAACCCAACACAAAAAAAGCTGAAATCAGCTTTAAAGCTGAGATTTCACGCCCCTGCAGAAAAAGAAATGACAGTTTTAGACGTGGGAGGAAAAACCCCAGAAGGATATTGTGGGGAAAACCCACAGAATCAGGTAGAAACTGAAAAGCCAATCCACATGTGGACCAGGGCAGGAATCGAACCCAGGCTATAGAGGTGGAAGGCGAGGAACGAACCACCGTACGTTGTACCAACATGATTCCCAATGTTGTTCTGCTGTAATACAGATATTGACGAGTGTAGTGGGCCGTCCCCTTGCGGGCTCAGCAGCAGATGTGAGAACAACGAAGGGAGTTTCCTGTGTGTGTGTCCTGCTGGCTACTACGGCGATCCTTACAGTGAGTGCATTGACATTGATGAGTGTGAGACCACACCCGATATATGCGACCCAATGGCAACGTGTAGCAACCTCAACGGCAGCCATGCATGTGCATGTTTGGACGGCTTTGAAGGCAACGGGACTTACTGTCAAGGTGGGTATCATTATCAAGTACTTCAGAAATACATTTTGCTGGCAACGAAAAACATCCAAATTTTAAACTTACAATCGTACTGCAAATTTTTCGAACAAGGAACAGTTATTTGTTGTAGACAGGTTTGTGTGAGTGTGGCCTAGGGTTTGTGACTCGAACATGATCTGGAGTCAGCGGTTTGAATCCAGCTACTGGCCATTATGTTGTGTCCTTCGGCAAGGCACTTCACCTTCATCCAGGAGTATAATGGATACCGGTGTTATATGAAATTTGGACTCCTAATCTGTTCCTTTTTACCCTATACATGGACCCCTTACACGTGACTTGTCGCTGTCCTCAATAGTTTCCCCTAGGCACGCGCAATGAAATCAATGAGTCCGTATTTCGAAGAGTCAATATTTCTCACAACACCGGCTTTAGCTTGGGAGTGTTTGTAATGGAGTGGCCTCCCATCCAGCGGAAATCGAAAATATCTCTTGTTTCTTGCCGAAGGTTTTAATGCCGGCCTGATGGGCCATTCGCTCATGCACAGACTTATTACTTTAATACTAATCAGGTATTTTCCCACTCACAATTACTGGAGGAACAAAAACAAAATTGTAAGTTAGGTTCTTTAAGTGCAAGATATAAGAGAGTGGGTGTTATATATCATACCATGTATGGGTTGAAATGGTCATATCCCCAGAGGAAACTTCCTTTGGCAAATGCTATGTAGCTAAGAGGCTGATGAAAATAATGGTTACCCTTAGAAAATTATTTTGGTTTGTGGCATGGAGAGGTAGAGATGAGAAACTTTGGTAAGAAATGTGACTACACCATCTTGTTTTGTTCTTGGGAAATTACAAAAAAAGTTAATCACAATCACACGCTTTGTAAACAACATTAAAGTAAATTTGATGATTTGTGTTTCAGACGTTGATGAGTGCGCCCTCAGCTTATGCAGCCCAGATTCGCAGTGTACTGACACCGAAGGCAGTTTCTATTGTACATGCAACAGCGGCTTCATTGCACCAGACGATTCCACTGGAGTAGAGTGCATTGGTAAGCTTTGGTGCTACGGGTTATACTCAGACTTGTGTTTCATTACCCTTCATAAAAAAAAATCACTTTATGAATTGCATTTAAAGGCAATAAAGACACATTGGCCATACAGCCTTATACCAAATTATATTTTGGTGAAACTTGGTTCTTGGTTCTTGGTTGGTTCTTCTCCTAAATACTCCACGTGGGAGTTTATACAGGAGGCCAGAAACACCGGGGCAAACCCCTTCTCTTAGCGGTAAGTGTTTACTGGGTTCTTTTACCTGCATTTATACAACACACGGGACCTACGGCTTAACGTCCCATCCGAAGGACGAAGCAATAATGGTTAAGTGCCTTGCTTAAGAGCACAAGTGTCCGCCGGCGGGCTCGAACCCACGTCACTGTTGCCTCTGAAACACCAGAACGTGAGTCCGGTGTTCTTAACCGCTAGGCCATCACACTCCAAGTGAAACAGACATACTAACAATATATACATGTATGTACAACTGGACGTGGATACGATATATATGATACAGTTTACACAATATAAAAGAAAAACAAAAAACTAATCGCTAACCACTTAATTGTGTTTTGCTCATTTTTAGATGTGAATGAGTGCGAACTCAACATGGACGACTGTGCCGAAGTGGTGTCCCAATGTGTGAATAGCAATGGAAGTTTCTCCTGCATATGCAGTGATGGCTACGAAATGAGCATGGGGGGAATGTGTGTAGGTGAGTCGTTGGATAAATGATTAAATAAAGTCATCATCGCTGACTTAAAGGACACTGGGTCATGGAACATTGGTGATTAGTCACCGCTGTTCCCGAGAGACACAACATGTACATGTACCGGTATATCGTACACTGAGAACGAGAGGAAAAACAACCGGGTTTTTTTTAGTCTTTTCTCGGGAACAGTTAAACATTAGGTTGGTTTCCTTTCAACCACATGTTTGAAATAGGATAAGTAAACAATTGAAACATGTAATTTTCGGGGATTTCAGTACCAAGTGCCCCTTTAACAATGGTCTGGATGATAATACAGTGTGTATCAAAAAAAATGCAAACAAACATAATGGAATGCCAGACGTAGAATGTGTAACCAAGATATACATGTAGATAATATAGGTATGATTTCAAAGATACGCCTTTCCACTTTAAAATGAGACATCAAACGTCAAAATCTGATAACTTTTGATAGAGTTATGAGTAATTCTCAAAGAGAGGTCAAATTGACCATGGGACCAAGTTTCAATTTTAGGCATTGGACAAAGGTACATGTAGCCTATTTGCCTCAGAATATCTCCATAAAAATGTGTTCTGTGAGTCAACACAATTCTAAACAGGTTCTTGCTATCACATCATGCTAAAATCTTTAACATGTAAACATGTTTACAAACTGAAAGCAAGAAAGAGATACATTCAGTTTTTTTCTGTGATTATTAAGTCAACCATGGAAAAACCAAGGTGCCATATCGTGAATAAAAAAACTTACTTTACTTTATTTTGATGAAATTTTGCGTAACCTTCATCAGTAAAAAGAAACTTGGTTGTTTGTTTTCTTTTCCGCAGATATCAATGAGTGTTTGACAAACCCCTGCTCTGGAGCGGACGTTGTTTGTGCCAATCTGCCTGGCACCTATGATTGTCAGTGTGCACAGGGATTCTATCAAGATGGCTCCACATGCGCTGGTAAATATTATGATGAAACAATCTTTATAATTCTGTTGCTTGGCATGTACCGGTACATAATGTATCATTGCTTTCGTAGACGTGCCAATTTGAGGTTTTGCATCCACGTGACCTGATCACGTGAATGGTGAAAGATCTGCCTTTTTGGAGTCTACCGCGGCGCTCGATCGATTGATGTACAGTACATGTACACTGCCTAACGATTAATTGCATTGATCATCTTTGGATGGAATTTTTTCCAAAAAGTAATGAGTTGACCCCCCAATAAATGAACAGAAAATAAAAGATGATGAAACAAGCTTTAATATGATGTGTGTCTCAAACACCTACATGTAGGAGGGTCCTGAGTATTTTTCCTGAAATTCAGAAGTGGGCGTATTCATCACTGGGGTCTGTGGCAGGTTATTTACTATAGTCTGCAACCACAGACGTCCAATATCATCTCCATTATGTAATGCAGATCAATTGTGTCCACTGACCTGTGACGTCACATGAAATTCCTCAATCCTAAAGTTCCTAAGGATAGCTTTTTGTGCTTGTCCTAGAGGGCCAGCTAGTGTTCTCTTTGCACCTACCGGGTACCGGTATCTCACTGACGGACTGACTACCTGCCTATCACTTGTGAGCCAGGCAGTGCTATTGTGAAGGATTAACCCATTAACCAATGAATTAGCTAAGTCTGGCCCATTGATGAGGGGAGTCAGGTTGGCGTAGTGGTACTTTCCTCGCCTTCCAACGCTGTGGCCAGGGTTCGAATCCCGCCTGGGCCAATATGTGGATTGGGTTTTCACACCCTACCTGATTTGTGGGTTTTCCCCAGAGTATTCTTCTGGGCTTTGCCTCCCACCTCTAAAACTGTAATTTCTTCTCATTGTCTCCTCTCTATAGGTTTCGTCAGGCTTTTGGGCTACAGTGGCTAGGGTACTTTTGAGGAATCCTTGGTTTCATTACCAGAAAGACATAAAATAAAAATAAAAATACAAAAAAACTTACTAAGTTTGCCAATTCTCTTTTTTATATCCAGCACTATGAGAGGTGGCAAGAGATTTAATTGCAAACAGAGTTCATTTTATTTCGCAAAAGATCTGTTGCTGAAATTTGCTGTTCATTTTAATTTCACTGAAGCCAATGTTACTGTGATGATCGGTGATCAAAAACATATTTCTTTTCTTTATTGTAGCTGGATTTTCCTACAATGCTTCGGCCAGTTTTGTTGATATAAGTGGTGCCGTTGTCGCTGGAAATTTGTTTAATTTGCTGGCAAATTATGTCCAATATCTCCAAGATTTGAAGAATGCGGTAAGTTCTCTTTAAATGTCTGCATAGTCCCCGACACTTACATGTAGACTATACGGAGTGAGTCAAAAAGAAAGTGACCTTATTACCCTTCATAATCAAACCTTTAAATCTCGCCTTGTATCTCTTACCGGTATCTTCAAATTACTTTCAACCTTAGCATGTACATTTCTCGGCATGCCTGATTCCGCTTAAATAGTATTTTTGTGTCACCTTCAAGGAAACACTCTTTGCGTTGTTGTTGTTGTTTAGACCGAAGCTGCCTTTGAGTCCTCCAGTATTGCCGGTGATTTTGGAGATATTGTCGTCAGAGATATTACACGGATCTCTGACGCTGAGGCAGTGGTCCGATTCTCCCTCAACTTTCGGATGTTTGTACCGGAAAATACCATTGTCCAGGCATTCCTCATGCAACTCACGGGATCCAGAGGGGGACAGCTACTGCCAAACCATCGACTCATTGCCGAGACATTCATCGTTGGGGAACCAAGTAAGATATAAAAGCGTGCCCCCCCCCCCAAAAAACCCCACTATCCCTAAGAAAATAACTGGGCATAATTTCTTTGACATGCAAATAATTCAGCAAGTTCAGAAACATGACTTATGTCGGTTTTTGCAAATCAAACAATGCACAAAATGTAAAGAGTTTCTTAAAGTTCTAGATTACCCCTAGAGTCGTGGCTTCCAAAGGAATATAACACGTGGAATTACAGTTGAACAATGTATTCAATTTGCATACATTGCCACTGACAACCAATCCAGTAACAGCCCATCAATTACAGTTGGACAATGGATTTAGCTTCCCTAACCTACAGGTAAATTGCCATTCATTGCTATTCATCGCCATTGCCTACAGGTACCAATCACAAAACAACCTACCAATTACAGCTGGACATTAGAGCACCCTAATCTAATTAGCATACATTGCCAATATCCAATCAATCACGAAACAGCCTACCAATTACAGTTGGACAAAGTTACCTAATTTTGTTTTAGTTACCTAATTTACACGTACATACATTGTCGTTGTCAACCAATCAGCCTATCAATTACAAGTGAACAAAGGATTTGGTTTCACCAAACTAATTTACATACATTGTCATTGTCTACTAATCAAGAAACAGCCTACCAATTACAGTTTGACAATTTGAGGATTTTGCTTTTCTAACCTAATTTCCATACATTGTCATTACCTACCAATCACAACACAACCTACATGTACCAATTACACAGCATCCTAACCTAATTTGCATGCATTGACATGGCCAAACAATCAAGAAAAAGTCTACCAATTAGGGTTGAACAATGAATTCAGCTTTCCTAACCTGATTTGCATACATTGTCATTGTCAGCCAGCAAAGAAACAGCTTACCAAGTTTTTCTACTCTGCCAATTAACATAATGTTTCAGTCCCAAGTACTTCTCAGAAAAATGGACACGGTGAGGTCATAGTTTGCTTGACATGAATAAAGTATTTTGTGGCAAGATGACATGAGTTGAATGTTTCTCGTGTTTTTGAACTTTTGGCAATAAAACTTCAATTGACTGTGTGTACATTCTGTCATCAAATGGACAGTTTGTCCGGGCTGAACAGATGCTTGTTTTACTTTTACAATTTGTTGGTGTCAGCATTGCATGTCATTAGTAATCATTTACTAAAGTTGGATTTGTGTTTTGTTTTATTCTGAACAGAATGTGTTGATTTGCCTTGCATGAATAATTCGACATGCACTGAGAGCAACACGGCGGCGAGTGGTTACTTCTGTAACTGCCTCGCAGGATACAGCGGGACCTTTTGTGAGATTGGTAAGACTTACTCATTGCTGAAGAGGTATACATTTTGTAATTACAGTATCTGTGCTGATCCTTTCCCTGAGCAAGTTGTTCTTCATCTAACGCGATTTGTTACGAGTCCCTTGTGAATGATTTCAGATTAAGTCATACACAAGATGACCAAATAAAAGAAAACCGAATGGTGCCCCCCTCTTTTTACGGACGTTCTGAAACGCTATCAAAATCTAGGATGTGAAAATAGTAAAATCCCAATGAATTAGCTTCATAGTCCCAATGAATTAGCTTTAAAATACCAATGAATTAGCTTTATTTTAGTAAACGAATCTTTCATATCGCTGATGTACTTTCCAAGTTATGGACTTTTATACACAAACACAGTTTCAGAATTTTGTCCACGGATCACAATAAAGGTAACAGATTTTTTAGTGTAAGTAGAAAGACAATGGATATTATAATTATCGAGAAAACAGCAAAAAAAAACAATCTTTTGACACGAAATATGACTTCGTCCATAGTACGCGCATTTTCAAAAACTCAAGTCATTTGGCTGATCGTTAGAAATCACCGACATGTGCCTTTCTTGATTCCTTCTAAACGACATTAAGCTAGACAAAATAATTTCACGGGTGATTAGTGACAGTTTTAATCTTTTATAAGTACCTTTTCATAATAATAGGTTACTTTTGGGATACTTGCGATTAATCTTATATGCCTTTTACCATTAACTATCCCCTGTACTGTATTGTATTACATTGTATTACATCGTATTACATTGTATTTACATTGTATTACATTGTGCTACACTGTATAATGTTGACTGACCTGTTCATGACAGCTCCCTGTGACGACACACCTTGCCAGAATTCTGGGACCTGCGTGACTGACGCAACCTCTTCCACTGGATACCGCTGCACATGTGCAGTTGGGTACACTGGGCAGAACTGCCAAACACTCTGTAAGATAATGACAAAAAATTCTTTACTTTTGTAAAGTACTTAAGTTATTTTCGAACAAAGGATCTTTGGTCGTCAAAAGCATTTCCCCCACACTTTTCTATTCAGTTTTTGTGAAGCAATGTATTAACATTGCTAGAATAAAATATCTGCCTCGACATGCAAACCTTCTGTTATTTCCATTGAAAAGTTCGAAAAAGTAAAACTCCGATGAGGTAATACCATGTCCAATAAACCTTCATGAATAATATGTAAAATTTTGAACTGTAGAAACTGTTTTAGTGTTTTATATCAAGTGCACTGTCTTCAACGTAGCGCCTTTATTCATTGTTGTCATGTTCATCACAACTGAGCAGTGTTTCCCCTGCCCATTCAAACGTGAGGCGGCCCACCTCGCTACTTTCAGTGACCACCTCGCTCAATTTTTGCCAATATCACCACCTCGCTGTGAAGATTTAATTGAAAAAAGATCATTTTGTGTAATATATGAGCGTTTTCCTCTACCTCCATGTATCAAGAACTCACAGTTTCGATGTGTTTTTGGAATCATCGCGCATTTCTGTGGGTGCTGCATTTTGTTCAGTTTGCAGACTGCATAAATTTCATTTCAATAATCTTGTTACCACCTCGCTCAGTTCATTAGCCAGGGGAAACGCTGCAACTAAGTCATCGCATATCCATGACAAGTTATACAGTCTCGATTCCATTCAAAGGTTATTCAAATGAATTTGGGCAAAGGCCATTCATTTTTGTTGATCATGCCCTGCTCCATTGGATTGTGACTGGACTTGTGGTAGACTTGTGATGAAATCGTCTCTCCTCAATTTTTTTTTTTTGTCGGAGTATTGACATAAATGAATGGTAAGAAAATGTTATCATTTTAATATGCAACACAAACATATCATCTTCAGTGCATTACCAATAACAACTGTTGCTATTATCGTCTTGAATGCAACTTTTCTTCGTTCTTTACTTTACCAATCAAGTACCATGTGACTTGGATAACAGTTGTCGGAACGGGGCTGAGTGTACCAACAATATTCTTGATGCCCTTGGCTACACATGTACGTGCCCAGCCGGATTCACTTCGCATGATTGTGAAAGTGAAGGTAATTATAGTAATGATAACAACCAAGAATACCTGTGCACAAATAAAAAGAAAACCAATAAAAAAAACTCCCACAGCCCCATTTCTTAGTACTTTCCCCTCCACAAACTTTACAATTACATGTATATACTGTTCTCGACTTACATGTACCGGTACACAATAGTTGTAAGCAAACTTCGACATAATTATTTTTCAGAAGTGGTAGTTAAAGCATTAGGGGGACACTCAAATGTTGAATAACTGACACATATTCTATTTGATTACGCATATTTTCATTACTCCTTTAGTAAATATTGTCGGAAAAAAAAAAATGACCTTAACAGTTAACACAAAATCAAAAGCTGCTTCCACAATATGAGATTTGAAGCATTAATGATGAAACTCCTCTTATGAAACTCCTTAAAATTGAACGATTGCTTGAAACAAGCTTGAATGATGATCTCGGAAGCCAACAAATTTCTGTTCATGCATGAGTGACGTGATTGTACCTAGTAATTGCTTGAAGGAGTAGTGTTTTGACTACAATTGGAAAGCAGTCAGTGGAGATCCACTAAAGTAACACAAAAGAGGGCCAGGGCCCGAGGGACGAGTTGATATATACCCATGCAAGGCTACACTGGAACGTTTGTTACTAACGCAGAGTCACGACGGTTTGTTGAGGTGCTAAGGTCGACAATAGGAGTGTTGTGCGGGAAAAATCTTGTTCTGCTCTGCTCTCTAAACGTGAAAAGTGAAAAAAAAATTTTTTGTAAAGAGCCACATGGGGGACAACTGCGAGAGGTTTTTCACTCATTTACATTTAGAGTGTTTAGTGATACCCGAACCTCGTAACTTGATTTTCGTGACACTATGTTTCATATGTTGGCGGATATTTTTTTTAAAGAGGTTGTGGAATGCTCGAAGACATTTCCGTCATTTTTCGGGTATATGTAGCCTAAGGTGTGATGAAATAAAAACGATTATTGTTTCTGTCATGAAATGAGTACAAAAGGTACTTTTGAGAGCTTTTTTTCAAGTCCTGTCCGTGCCTGTTTCGACCCGAACGTGCAATTTGTGTAAAAGTCGTTGTTGCAGGCAAACAAAACACAGTAAATCGTGACGTAATAAACAGGACTCCTGATGCAGAGTAGCATAAGCGAGTCCTGTTTATTACGTCATGATTTACTGTGTTTTGTTTGCTGCCCGCAATGACAACTTTACACAAATTGCACGTTCAGGTCGAAACAGGACCTGAAAAATAGCTCTCAAAAGTACCCTTTGTACTCATTTCATGACAGAAACAATAGTCGTTTTTATTTCATCACACCTTAGGCAACATCTACCCCAAAAATTGACGGAAATGTCTTCGAGCATTCCACAACCTCTTTAATCAGACAAACACAAATAACATAAAATGAACAAAAGCCACCGCCCAAAAATACACAAAATATTCTTTACAGATATCGTTACTAACCCCATTTGCTAAGTACGTGGTACATGTACAATGTATGTATTGCAAAAGAAAACATTGTATGACATTGTGTATTTGTGTGTTGGTTCTTCCAGTGTGTGTCACTACCTGTGCAAACAATGGAGCCCTGGACAGTGTTGCTTGTACCTGTAGTTGTGTGGCAAACTGGGGAGGAGCTACATGCACAGGTTGGAGGCAATTGTTACCACATATACTACTAAGAATAAATACAATTCATAACTATGCTAAGCTGTAAAAAGTCAAGAAACTGTTAACCCTTTTATAATGCTAAAATAGATATCCATAGCATGTCTTGACAGTGTAATGGACTTTCTCTAATCAAATTTACACTCAAATCTTTAACTAACCACAAAGGTAACTGACTAGGGGCATCATAATAATTCCAAAGTTGAACAAAGAAAAATTGAACCTGTGACCTCCAGAATACTGTACCAGTGCTCTACCAACTGAGCTGTTCTGCCCTATGTTGGCGGTTCTCCATTGTTTCAGTCTCATTGTTCATGGGGACTAATCATAGTCGTAAACTATTTTGTGCCATATAACCAGGGATCACTCCCAAATTCATAATGTTAGCGACATTAGCAATGCTGAAAACCTAGTTAACAGCACTCACAATCCTGGCAAAGTTCTAAACCTATTGAGTTGTAGGAGATGAATATTTACATTCATCGAATTTTACGGCAAAGTAATCATGGAATTCGTTATAAGTGATGTCAGTTTCTCACAATTTATCAGACTCTTATTTTTCCTTTTTTCAGATTGTTCACTGAATTGTCAGAATAGTGGCACCTTGAATGAAGCAACGTGTGCATGCGATTGTGCGCAGAATTGGGCCGGCACAGAGTGCACAGGTAATGCCTTATGCTCACACTGAAGAATGTTTACATTAATACTGTACCAAATCCTGTAATATCAACAATCGTTTTCAATAACTTCTTTTGCCTCAATGTTTATTTAAATTAATAATTGTGGTAAAAACAGGCGAATGGAGTGGCCTTTTGATACCCTGGGAGAGAGTTAAGTGTTTGAAGCTACATTGAGAGCGTCGTGGTCCAATTTATACGGTTTTGGACTCACATGCCGTGGTACGTGGATTCGAACCCTGAAGGGAAACACGGTGCTTGTGTTCTTGGGCAAGACACTTTACTACAATTGCCTTGATCTCTCCAGCCAGGTGCATAAATGGGTACCTGTGAAGTTAGAAACTAGAATGCGCCGATTTGCTGCAAAACTGGTCTCATGGCCTGATAAACAAGGGTAATAATTGAACCTGTGACCTCCAGAATACTGTACCAGTGCTCTACCAACTGAGCTGTTCTGCCCTATGTTGGCGGTTCTCCATTGTTTAGTCTAATTGTTCATGGGGACTAGTCATACCGGTAGTCATTAACTATTTTGTGCCATATAACCAGGGATCACTCCCAAATTCATGATGCTACCAACATTAGCAATGCTGAAAACCAAGTAAACAGCACTAACAATCCTGGCAAAGTTCTAAACCTATTGAGTTGTAGGAGATGAATATTTACATTCATCGAATTTTACGGCAAAGTAATCATGGAATTCGTTATAAGTGATGTCAGTTTCTCACAATTTATCGGACTCTTATTTTCCTGTTTTTAGATTGTTCACTGAATTGTCAGAATAGTGGCACCTTGAATGAAACAACGTGTGCATGCGATTGTGCGCAGAATTGGGCCGGCACAGAGTGCACAGGTAATGTCTTACGCTCACACTGGAGAATGTTTACATTAATACTGTACCAAATCCTGTAATATCAACAATCGTTTTCAATAACTTCTTTTGCTTCAATGTTTATTTGCCTTAATAATTGTGGTATAAAAAGGCGAATGGAGTGGCCTTTTGATACCCTAGGAGAGAGTTTTAAGTGTTTGAATTCAGCTATATTGAGAGCGCCATGGCCTAATGGTTACGGTGTTGGACTCACATGCCGTGGTACGTGGATTCAAACCCTGAAGGGAAACATGGTGCTTGTGTTCTTGGGCAAGACACTTTACTACAATTGCCTCGATCTCTCCAGCCAGGTGCATAAATGGGTACCTGTGAAGTTAGAAACTAGAATGCGCCGATTTGCTGCAAAACTGGTCTCATGGCCTGATAAACAAGGGTAATAATTGTAAAGCGCTTTGAGGCCGTTGGTATAAAGCGCTCAATTTAAACACATTGTTATTATTATACTGTAGCCATGCACTGCTCCCCCGGCAAGATGGCAAGGTTTAGTATATTATAGCAAATATTGTTACACTGACTTGTTTGAAGTTTTGTGATCGTAGATGCTGGAAAAACCAAAAAAAAACAATCATGTTCCCGAAGTCTGGTTCCCTGACCTCACTTAAGATGAAACTGTGCAATTATAAGACATTGGAAATTGTAAGGTCGGGGAACCAGTCTAGCTGGCTTGTACCGGTTCATGGGTGTTAAAATGGTTGCAAACAAAATGCGGAATAACTAAATATGGTCATTTGGGGGCAGTTTTTGCACACAAAAAAAACACTTTTTTTCCAACGCTCTTTTTTTTTGCAAATGACAGCACACCAGCTGTCGTGAATTTACAGGATGCTTTAGACTGTCATTCACTGAAAGCCAAGTAAGGTATTTCATAGTGATTTGGCAGTTCGTTCTTTGATGTTTGCAAATTTTGTATATTCCATTTAAGAGAAGAATATAACAACACATTTTGATTCTTCGTTTATATCATCAGTTTGTCAATTGGGGTGCCAGAATAATGGAACACTGAATGAACAGACATGTCAGTGTCAATGCACCTCTAGTTGGAATGGGCTCCAATGCACAGGTAGGATATGTTATAAGGTTTGGAACACCAACATACATGTAACAAGTTTAGAATGATGCAAATGAATCAAACTGCTGCAAACTGCTTACTGACTGGATTGACCTAAAATTGATACAAATCAACAAAATAGCTGGCCGGATCTTTATGTTTTGGTCTTAACGACACCTGCTTCAGAGGCAAATGCGATAGTCCATGCGATGACTCAGAATCCGTTGTAAATGTCATTCCTGATATAATGTCGAAAGGCAACGCTTCACACATACACAATTAAAAACGGATAAATAGAATTCAATAAAAAAAAAATAGAGACATACATGTAGCATGTACATGTGCTGCCTTTGGTTAACAATAATTCTTCATTTTGCATCTGATCCAGATTGTTCATTGACATGCGAAAACGGCCTCACGTTGAACAGTGACACATGCGAGTGTACTTGTGCCCAGAGCTGGATTGGAACAGACTGTGAAGGTATACTTGTTAATACTTGACCTTACTTCACTTTCATCAAGCACACCAACTTTTTTTTTTAGCAATATGTTGCACCAGTCACTTTTGCAGAGAGTAAAATGTCAACAATTTTTCCTGAATGTAGGAAATAAACACTCATTTCACAAAGTGTTTCCATAGTATTTCACAAAAGGTACAAAGGGAGTCAACAAGGTGATGCAGATAATCTCATCTTCAATTATGTGTTTTGTACGTTTTTCAAGACTTTCGGTAAAGTTAAACCTTTGGAAACCACAAGTTTAAAATAAAAATGAAATAAACCACTTCATCAGTTAGTTCTTTATTGTACATTTATAGCCATTATTTAGATGTTAAATGAACTAAAAGATTCCAATTTGTTTTTCTCTTTAGTTTGTCCGCTTACAGCTGCAAGTTGCCTGCCAGGCACTTTGGATGTCAACAATTGCGAGTGTGTTTGTCCAATCGCAATCTCTGGCAGAAACTGTGAAGGTAGGTTTGCATTTAACATTTTGGGCTAGATAGGATCAGACATTTCTCACTAAAGCCTGATACGTATAATAAGGTCTGGGTCAGATTTGACCCGGAATCCGGGTTCCACTTGGCCTGACATCTTTCGGGGTCAAAATGACACTTTTCGGGGTCAAAATGACCTGGAAAATGAGTCAGAGAAGTGTCATATTGACCCAGAAAAGGGGTCATTTTTTGTCAAAATTACACTTTTCCGTGTCAAAATGACCTGGAAAATGAGTCAGAGAAATGTCATATTGACCCGGAAAAAGTGTCATTTTGACCCGGAAAGGTGTCAGGCCAAATAGAACCCAAATTCCGGGTCAAATCTGACCTGGGACTTTTTAGAGTGTAGGCTAACTAGAGCACAGCAACCTGTAAAGCTCTGTTCATCCATTGCAATTAAAAGAATCTTTCATCCGGAAAGCACCATTTCTGGCTCTAAAACGCATTAACCACGAAACGATGATAGTCGGAAAGATTACTATAGAAGAGTAGAGTAGAATATAAATGTGCACACAGCTTTACACTGGAAATTGTTGGTTGCGCAAAAGAATTTTGAGATACAAAAATTAAAGGCGTATTCGAAACCTGGTTCTCGTGTTGAATAAACATTCAACGAACTTCAACAAACACACCACTTTGTCTCTGAAAGTCGAGCCGTTGGGTTGCTAGACTTTATTCAAGTGGCTCTTATTTCAAATGCGTAGCTTCAAACACGCCTGCTCTTATTATTGGGGCTCTCCGCAAAATCTCGTTTACGATGCATTATACGCAGTGCTAGTTCGATGTTGACAGGTTTGGCATTCAAGTCGGTGGCTTTATTCGTTTCTGGAAAAAAAGGTATGGCAAGGCAAAAACACTTCTTTGTTAGTGTAATGCATTATGAGAATTTCTTGAACTTCAAAATATTATCAGTAAACATACAAAAAGAATACATTTAACAATGTCCGGACGAATGTTACCTTTACGTCAATGCGACAGCTTTGCATTCACTGCAATGTAACCTCGGTTAGATCTCGGCTTATACATGTACAGCTCAGTGTTCAGCTACCACTTTGATTCTTTTCAAAATGTTTTCCTTTCAGTTGCCAATCCATGTTTGGGCACCAGTCTTTGCCCAGGTGCAGGGAAGTACTGCGTGGCTGACATTTACAACAGTGCCGGATATGAATGCGTCTGCAATGCTTTGGATGGCTACCTTGCTCAAGCAGGTGGCACCTGTGAAAGTAAGTACATAGGGGATTGGAATTACACACCATTGCAAGGTTCACATATTTATGAAAAAATAAATTCTGCAAACAGAACTATTGAAGATCATAACTTTGAAATGCGTGCAACATTTACCTTTTTTCTGTAGAGCAACACTCTAAAAAGTCCCGAGTCAGCATGGTCATATGTGACCCGAAATCCGAATCAATTTGGGCCTGATACTTTTCCGGGTGAAAATGACACTTTTCTGGGCCACAAAGCCACTTCTCTAGATCATTTTGACCTGGAAAAGTGTCATTGTGACCACAAAAGTGTCATTTTGACAAGAAAAGTATAATTTTGACCCGTAAAAGATGAATTCTGACCCGAAAAAAAGGATCATTTTGACCCGAAAAGGTATCATTTTGAACTGGAAGGGTGTCATTTTGACCCGGAAAAGTATCAGGTCAAATATGACACGGATTTCGGGTCAAATCTAACCCGGGACATTTTAGAGTGCACGTACATGTAAAACAATATGACGACAGGGTTTATCTTCAACTGCATAACTCTAGCTTACAAAATAATATATTTGTTTTTGCCGGTCCCCGAGAGCAAGTCCAGGGTCAACTCCCACCTATCTCACTGACTGACTTACTCCACAACTCACTGACTGACTGACTCCCCCACCGACTCACTCCCCGACTCACTGACTGACTCACTGACTATTACATGTGAGCTGGCAGTGGCAGTGCTGTTGTATAGGATTAAGCTGTGTTACCAGTTAATAGGCTAAATCCGGCCCTTTACATAGACCAGATGCATGAATAGATTTCAACCAATAGACATTGTGAATCAATTAAATAGAATTGTGCGCACTTTGGGACCAGCTTTACCAGGCTATTTATGTGTAACTTGCGAAAGTAAAGCATATTCCACCTTTTGGAGGTTATGTATTTCTCAGTACTGCTGACTTATTTTAAAATTATTGTTGTGCTTTATTTCTATAGGATTGGCATCTCGAATATTCCGACTCCGAGTTGTGGGCGTGAATGGGAATCCTGTTGCTTTTACTCCAGAGTTTAGCAATCACATTTCCACTGCCAGCAAACAGTTCCTATCTCTTAGCGCTAGAGTGGTAAGACTATCTGTTCATCACCTCTGCCAAGAAGGCTAGGGTAAACTGGGGTAAAAACGCCCATGGGGTAAAAACGCCCACTTGAATTGTTTCCACTGCTAGTAAAACATTATTAGATGAATTACTAAATGGAATATATTTCTAATAAGTACAATGTAAATAAAAATTAATAATAAAAAGAATTAAATTCATTAATATATTTGAAGGGTACGTAGGTGCTGTTGAAAAAAAACTTGAAAAAAAAGTTTCAAAAAATGACCGTCGAAGGTTTAGCCTATATCGCTTAAAATCATTTTATAAAAAAGAGTATTTTATTTTTTTATTATTCTTTAGTTGATATATGTTAAGAAGGGTTAATTACATAATTATAAATGATAACAATAATAAAATCTATTTTTATATTTGCTTAATAATGTTTTTTGAGTGGGCGTTTTTACCCCAGGCAAAATCAGGGGTCTCGGGGTAAAAACGCCCAGTACATTTCTTGACATAAAACTCTATTGCAGCCTCATTTATCATCAAAAACCTCACTATTAGAACTTTCTACAGCCATATGTCTCTTGTATGAGTAATTATTAGCTATTAGAGTCCTACCCCATAAATATTGAACAGTGTAATGTGTGAAGTGGGGAGGTACATGCAGGCGGTATCACTAACTGACGTTACGTAGGGGCAAGGTATCTGGCATTTGGTAGGGAATGCCCGAGAAACCATGAGCTCATGGCATTTTCTCAAGAAAAAACAAAATAACACCTTTATGGTGATTTGAGTATACTTTTAATAACTAAAAATGACTAGAAATGGTTCTAAGACCCAACTAGACCGGTTTCTGCTCTCATGCTACATGTATACTAGCAGAGCTTCATCAGTAGTAAGCCAATATCGGTATTTTATATTCGGCTAAAGTCGTGTCAAATGTTACAGTGCATAGATACCGGTAAGTGCATGTAATATAATTTTGTGTCAACCTCGTGGTGAGTCCAATTCCCGGTTAATGATAAACATTGATTTGACAAGTAAACCTTTCAGACTTTTGGCCTTTTTATAGGCAGGAATTGGTTCGCTGAGATTGCATAATTTCGGGTGTTCCGAAATTAAATGTCAGTCTTGCAGCAATGCTTTTGTTACATGTACATGTAGCTGCTTGGTTTTGATGTGTGGTGTGTAGATTATCTTGAAGACTAGAGGTGGTTCTTTTGGTCGTGTTTCATTCATGATTGCTCACAGTTTTCAAATTTTACATCATTTATGACTGGCAATTTCTTCTTTCTTGTGGTTACAGAGTAGAAGTTTCTCCATGATTGCATTTCTTTGCTCTAAGAAATCGGTCTCGTTGTTACAGAGATTTGCATATCTTAGTAGTTCTCCTTTGATGTAGCCTTAGGTTATCAGCAGTAGGCTAGAAACATACTATGGAATGCCTAATAATATTGACTATGCTTTGGCTCAACATGATTGAAATAGATTTTCAATATTGGCAGGCATTATACATTATACAAGTTTGTTATGGGTGAATTATGTACGCTAATGTTCCGCTTCCTTCCACATAAAAATACCTGTTTTAAATGATCAAGTTTGTAGTTATAATTAACCAGCTGTGTTTGAAAAGTTATTTGTACTTGATGAAGTATCCCTCAATATTAAATTAATCACAAAAATATGACTATACTACAGGGAAAGCTGTGGTATATTCATTTTTTTTTTTATAAATGTGGGCGGGCGTTTTTACCCCGAGGCCCGGGTAAAAACGCCCGCCAAACTTCATCCCAAAAAGGGGGGAAAATTTCCCCTTATCAATATAATGACCATGATTTTATATTTGCACCTGATAGAGGAGACATGTAGTGCATAAAACCACATGTTTATTTCCTAGTGTCTCCAAGTAGTACTGAGATATTTAACAAAAACCTAAAAATCGGGCGTTTTTACCCCAGTTTACCCTATGTTTTCACCTGCGTTGGTTTGTTAGTTTGTTGGTTGGTTGGTTGGTTTGTCTGTGGACAGGATAACTCGAAAATTTATGGACGGATTTTCATGAAATCTTTTTTTTAGGGGTGGTCCTTGGTACAAGTACGGATTAGATTTTGGAAGTGATCCGGATCTGCGTCTGGATGCAGGATTCTTTTAAAGGATTTTTCGCCCATCATATGGAAAACTTTCACCAGATCGCTTTGAGCGACCAGTTTGCTTGCGTGGCACTGACACGGTGACCCTGTATGCCTTAACACCCACCTAATATAACCACATGGATCAATGGACTACACCATTTTATACAATGGGGGAGTCGAAAGGTAGACCAACACACGCATACATGTACATGTCAAAGTTCTACAAATGTTTTGAGTTGAAGCACTTTGACGAAAAGGCTTCTTCAAATTATGCTAGACCTAATGTAATCTATATAGACCTACATGTACATGTATGTACATGTTTAAGTAAATCTCCAGCAAGCTAGGTTGGACTGTTCCTTTAACAAGTTAAATGTTATTCTAACGTTCCGAAATGTACCATCAAGAAGGTCAGCACGTCAAACACAATTTGTACACAATTATTCAAAACGTTATTATTAAAAGTAATACATCAGGTACGTGGGGCACAAAACGTACCCAAATTTAGTAACTATTTCTGTTACCGGTACCTTATCGACCTTTTTTGTTTCTATGCGAAGGTTTTGTATGTGCTACAACAAAATGGGTTAACTTCAGCTGTACGAGATGTGATAGGGATACGTGTTGTCAGCGGAGGGAGTTTAATCGTCGAATACGCGGCATTTTACAGTGATGAAAACTCGGCGCCAACAATCTCAACTATACAATACGCTCTTCAGTCTGGAAGCAGACTCAGTGACTCTGCTGACTATCTTGATGTAGACACAGGATATGTTACTTCGACCAGTAAGTTCAGCATAGTATTGAATGCTTATGTTTATGCAAATAATGAATGCTGATTATGAGTGCAATGGTAAGAATAATTTCATGAGGTGATAGATGGAATGTGCCATGGAACATTCCATCCGTCACCGTATGCAGTTATTCTTTCAACTGCATGAAAGTAAAACATTCATTATTCTTTAGTTTTATACAACACCTGAATAAACCCTGGTCATCTGATTGGTCAACTCAGAACCACGAGTCGTGTTACCGTGTAATGGAAGTTCTATTTACCATGGAATAGATCTACAATTTTTGGGGGGATTTGGCCGGGCCATGGGATGGGCGAACAATTCAATGACCGTGATTAACGACCTACCAATCAGATGACGGGGATTTATTCAAGCGTTGTATTGAATACCGAAGTGTGACGTCATTTAGAACCAGAAAGTGTAGTGCAAACGAATGGAGTACGGGCGCGTGTTGGTTCACGGGCTGAATCACGCGCTAATGTCTTGCACACATATTTTGTGCGTGTGACGTATTCGCTTTGGTACTCCATAATATCAGCTATTTCTCTTGAAAGAGATTCTAATATTTAAAAACATACACTGATTTGAGGTCCTCAAACAGTTCAGTAATGTGCGAAATTCTGAATCACATCGAGTCGAATGCGGGTTACATTCTAAAAATTATCAAGCTAGGATTTTTTTTGTAAAAGAAAACGGGAAGGAGTCCTTTTATATTTTTAACAATTAGAAACTACAGTTCTTGCCTCATATGTTTCTCTCATAATTCTTTTTTTAATGATTTGTTCACTATACGGCAGAGTTGTCACTGATTTTGTGACTCGAGTCCAGTCATTAGGTCAAAAGGGTCGAGTCGAGTCAAATATTTAGCTCGAGTCAATTTGAGTCACGAATATTTGAACACTATATACCAACATTTATATAAGGAGGCCATAAGTTAAGCCAGCATCCGAATCCAAGAGCTTTATAAGAAATCGCCCAAAGCCAATGATGAAACAGCGAATTAGAAAATGTGTTTAAAAATCTGGTTCCTGGATAGTATTTTGTGCGTTCTAGAACCTTCAGGTGGGAGTCTGTACATTTGTACATGACTGCTATTCGCAAAGCGAAGTGAGCATAAATTTTGCACCGTAAGTCACTGCACATACTTTTCACAAAGTTGTGCTTTTATTTTTGGGACTCGAGTCTTATCAGCCTTTGCTCGAGTCGAGTTGAATCTTCTGATGAGGGACTCGAGTGGAGTCGAGTCATTTACCCTTAGGGACTTGAGTCGAGTCACCAAAAGTTGTGACTCGATTCGAACTCGAGTCGAGTCATTGACTCAAGTCATTACAACTCTGCTATATGGGTTGTATACCATAAAAGTCTATTTCCCATTTTAACATATTCTCTTCCCCTGTTTGACGTAGGCTCTGTGTCGTCTTGTCCTCCAAACTACTGTGCCAATGGCGGTTCGTGTTCAGTGGATTTTGTACTGTATCCTATCTTCTCCTTCACATGCAGGTACGTGCCTAATTTGTTATTCGAAATCAAAAGAACCGACTGCAATAACATCCAGTTATTTTCTTTTAAGTTATAAAGAGTCAAATACCTGAATGTTATCATTGCCTTAATACTTCACCTCTATGAAACATTTTCCGAATTTGTGCCACATACTTTTTCAGCACTCAAAATTGTGATCAAACTTTGTACGTCGGAAATTGCAAAAGATGAAACCAAATATTAGATTCCAATGTCTGCATGGTATAAATGGTTTATTTCAATTAAATACAAAAGTGTTTCAAATGATATAGTAACCAAAGGATAACGTATAATCATCCGATAATATCACACTTATTTGACCGATGTATCACTAACCAAGTACGTTTATACAAAAGTTAAATGATAATGTAGTAAATGTTACTACACTATCAGACAATTTTATGTCACACTTTCGGTTAGGATCAATAATGTAACAAAAATGTACTACACCATCAGTCGATTGTTATTACATTATCGGTTTGTAATCATGGTAATGGTCAATCTTTGTGACATCATCAGTTGCAACAAAACAAGTCTTTAATCGACAGCAAACCTATCAAAGAATCCCAAGTTCAAGTTGTATTTTTGTCTTTCGATTTCAACCTTACGAACTCCTCTTGGATTCAGTATAATGACCCTTTTGCCAAAAAGTGAATGTTTTGTTTGTTTATCAGCTGTCAGACATCTTTTACTGGTGAACGATGTGAGACAGTCATACCTTTAGAGCCTGGTGTGACGATCACGACTACAGTAAGCATGACCACTCAAAGCCCTGGTAAGACACACAGCAACTCTAATACATTGTATAAAGCCAGTTCAGTATTCCAAAATACATGTAGTCTGGTGCACAGCTACCGGTAGATTCAAAAAAAAAATTGGGGATAACCGCGGCAAATTATGCACACAGGCTATGGGGGACGTGGTAACTGAATGCATTCTGTGCAATTTTTCGTGCAATCGAAAAGAGATGGAACTTTGATTTGCACAAAGGTTTTTACACACAAGACACCTCAGAACACTTCGCTGTCCAACTTTTTTTGGCAAAAAATTCTGCTTGAGAACACAGTTTCTTCAATTCTGCTGGTTCCTCGCTATACTTTTGCACGCATACGATGACATTTTATCCCGAAAGAAAAATCGGCAAGTCTTGATGTGCACATGTGCAGTTGGAATACCGAACTCACGCATTATAATGTTATGATTAACAAATTTAAATGAGCACTTAACACTGCAACTATAGGGCGAGTAAAAAAGAAATTGACCTTGTTTGATTTTTTCTTCTTAAGCAATCAAATTTGATACACCAATGAAGCATGCCCTATTAATAGAGCTTGTTCTTTAACTCATCTGACAAGAAATACTGAAAGAAGTTAATTATGCATGTTTTACAAAAGGAACCTACTTTGTAGCTGTACATGTATATGGAGTGCCATCACTGCCATTGGAAGCCACTGACATGACTGAGCTGAGTGAGAATTACAGACTACACACAGGAATTCAAATACGAATGAAAAATAAATCATTTGAGTCAAGCCTGAAATTATTTTTACTGTAAGATTTTGTGTTTTGAATGTGGTTATGTGGAATAAAAGTCAATTTTTTTTCTGAAAGTCAAAATGACACTCTGTGACCCAACTTCCGGGTCGAGGGTAATTTTTGACCCGGAAAAGGTTCAAGCCCCACATGACCCTTGTGCGGGTCAAATCTGACCCGGGACTTTTTAGAGTGTGGTATGTTGTTCCAATCATTTTTTTTTTGTTCTTATTAATTCACACAGGTTTGTCGACCCTTTCCATCATCCTCATCGCGGCTGGAATACTACTGGTCCTTCTGCTCACGCTGTTGTTGATCATGTGCATTACATGCATGGTAATGCGACCGCGACACAAGTTGGTCAGATATGGCAGACCTGGTTGGGGAGATGGCATGGTTCCCATCCGATATGGGCACCACAACTATGGCCTGGATCATGATGGCGATCGCGAGTCGGAGAGCCGAAGTGACGAGATCAGAATGCACCAACTTCAGCAGGCTTTGGGGCACTCAATGTACCCACAACCGGTAAGAATTTGAGAAAATTGCGTTTGAAGTTGGTGGATTTTTCAATTTGCATTTCTGTGTTCATTTCTCACCCGGAATTAAAAAAAAAAATTATATAACTGAGACAATAGCCCAGGAGTTAAATAGCCAAATCGTGTTTAAAGTAGAAGACATTCATTACTAGAGAAATCCGTCACTTCGTCAAAACGGAAAATCTACTTCTTCAAAAAAATGAGGCATATGTTTGTACACAGCGTGCACGTATATTTAGTATATTTTAGAACGCAGATGTGTCACTTCGTCAAAACGCAAATCGTGGAGGCTTCATATTTCTAAATATAGCGCACGTGTAAAATCAATGAGACTACATGTATGTGACACATAGAGATTCGTCACTTCGTCAAAACGAAAAACTTATAGTGTGTTAGTAGCACTTTGAACACTTTGTTAAATTAGCGTAATTAACGAATGAAGAAATGTTGTGTCTCGAAATTTGGTAGTCCTGTAGAGGACATCATAAAATGTTAGAATATCCAAAAATCTCAGATTTCAGAATCTCGGTTTTGGACAAATGCGTCACTTCCTCAAAACGGTGGCGATATATACAGTACCTAAAGGGCCCATGCAATATAGTTTGTGTAATACAATCCTTGAAAATATACCTTTGTATCCTATTGAACCTTATTTGTTAATTTTGGTTTTGCCATTTATTTTTATGCTAATGAATATGTACATGTTCATGAGCAAAAGTTTGATGTCATTTCAGGCAGAAACTTCAATGTTAAAGCTATTTCAGCACCAAACATTGCCAGAATATTTGATATTTTGCTACAATAATTTTTTTCTGTGTTGATTCGTTGTTGTGTCAGTACAAGGCAGTAAGCCAATGAGCAAACTCTTTTCACAAACGTTTAAAGGAGCATATTTTTGGGTTCACAATGTGAACCTTTAAACTGAACAGTGTCTTCTTAAAATGGCATCACAGTAAGGCCCAAAAAAAAGTCTCCGGTTTCTGGTATGCGCGCGCGTCGCCGTAGCCATGCGCGTCGGCAAAATGAAAAAGTTTTTTTTTCAATACAAGATGATGTTTCAAAACCGCCAAACTCACTGGTTTGACTGGAATTCTGCTGCTGCACAATTTTAACGTGTTTTTAGAAGGGGTTATGATCGAAAATAAGATTTATGTGGCCTCTCTGGACTCCCATATATTTGCACTAAGTTTAGTCGGGCACCATTTGCAGTCATCAGCCTACATTTGAAGCCAAAAAAAACAACAAAAAAACAGGTAAAAAAAAAAAAAAAAACGCGTCGCCGCACCACTTTTGGGGCAAGCTCCATACCAGAAACCGGAGACTTTTTTCTTTTGGCCTAACAGCACCCTTTATTGTCTGAAAAGCTTGGAAAATTTAAATGTTTAAAGAAGTGCACTTTTGAATAAACTTTTTCAAAAAAGGGATGTCAAATACTTTTCATACATTTAAAAGGAGTAAAAAGTTGAACAAAATAAGTTCCTGTAAAAAAAAATTCCTAAGAAAGTAGCATGATATGGGTAAGAACACAGACAAAAGTTTTTGAAGCTAACTTAAGTGTAGCTCAAAAGATGTTCCACCCATACTTCAATACCAGCACAGATAACACAACTAGATGTATATTTATAAAGAAAACAATCTGAATTTCTTAAAAGGGAATTGTCCCAAAGAATGAAAAAGACTAAATAATAGTATTGATACCAATGTGGTGCTTATATAGCGCTTCAAAGGTCTCAAAGCACTCCACAATTTTATTACTCTTGTTCATCAGGCCATGAGACCAGTTTTTGCAACAGCTCGAGATCAGCGCATTCCGGTTTCTACCTTCACATGTGCCCATTTAAACTCCTTGGTAAAAGCTTCTGTGTTGTTAAGAAACCGCTAGCACGACATCACCAATGAATATACATGTACCTTATAACATGTACACATTTCGGATCAAACAATATTTGGAGGTAATGACTGTGGGGGAAAAAAATCAATTATTGCCTAAATCGTTGTCTGCACCTTTTGCACGGTGCAGACGGATGCTTTGCAACCTATACAACTTCAATCAACTCATGTGCTTTTCTGTTTTTCTAGGACTCGGCTGGACGCTTGGATAGTTTCTCGAGACCTTATGTGGCATCAGGCAATGAAGAGCTGTACCGCGTTTTGGATGGGGTAAAAACATATATTTTCAATGCTAGTTATTAAATAACGATACCTAAATATGTCCCCTTAATAAAGAGCTGAGTAATGTTTGTTTTAAATTTTTTCTGTATTATAAGACCACGGGGCAAACCCTACATTTGAGCATATTACGCATGCTATTTGCACCACATTAAAACAGAATATGTCAACAATTTGAAACTACCCAGTATTAATATTTCAAGAGGTATGTACATGTAAATGCACAGAAAAACCAAAGTACCGGGTAATTTGACTCATTATCGTCAAAAAATGAGTCATTTTGGCCGTGTAGTGACAAACTTTGAGCCATAGTGTGTCCCTAATAAAGCGGACAAACTGACTCATTTTCTTTACCGAAGAGAACCGTTGGATGAAAGTTGGCAGTACGTGACCACGACATCCAACTTGTATTGACAAATGACACAACGTCTGTATTGCTTCCAGCTTCCATGAACATCCCTGTGCCCATTCTACAAAAATACTCACCAATTTTTAGATTCCTGTTCAAATGTAAGACACATGTTCACGTACATCCCTTTTCTTCGATACAACTCAAACTGCATACCACTGATTTTAGAATGAAGGGAGTGCTGCTCTCTCTCCACCAATCTACCTGCATTTCTAACCCTGCTGTATGCATAAAAGCCAATTTATGTTGAGTTTTCTGAGTCTTATATAGCAGTTAGGAAGAAAAAGTGCAGTTAACAAGATAATAATGCTATTGGATTTTGGGCAACATTGCATCCAGAAAACAAGTACAAGTAGTTGATTTTACTTTGTATTTCTTTCTCCACAGAGACCACGTGATAGCAGGCCTGCTCCTGCTGGAGCTGTCTTCAATCCAACCTACCGGTACTAAAGTCAAACTGCCGATCAAGTTATTTACAACATCGGATTACCACACGTCTTTCGTTATAAATATGCTGAAATAGAGTGACAAAGTTTGAAATCGACAAAGATTAGAACCCGATAAGACTTACTTTAAACAGCAAACTGTATTGTGACAAATCTGAAATCCGTTTACAAAGAAGAGTTTACAAGCCTGACAAGCCATTAACAGAAGACTCACACTGTGATTTTGTAATTTTTGTACAGGCTGAGTAAAAAAATAATGGTGTGGCAAGCCAATTTCATAAACTGCTTTTAGATGGAAAAAACTGACTTTAGGTGCTCAATTTGTTCAAATTATATTACTTATAAACAAAATTACCCTAAAGTCTGTTTCGTCCAAAAATGCAATTTCAAGAATTGTCGTTTCAAGATGTATTTCTTCAAACATCACCAGAGATAAAACTGCAATTAAAAAGTGACAAATATTCAACAAAGTCCTCTTGAAGGCCTGTCTTTAATAAAGAGTGGATTTTACAAACCCTATTGTTGGCCAAAGCAGGGTTATTAATGAAGATATTGCGTACTACAGGACTGTTGTTGAAACAAGTATTCTGTGTAATTTTCTTTGTTGTTGGACGAAACTGATTTTAGGGTCACTTCGTTTAAATAGTGATAAAATGTTAACGTGTAGACATGGTAGAGCAGTTAAAATAATTTTCTCACTTCAAAGTACCGTAGTTCAATAAATGGGCTTCCAACTTTTTAACGTTAGTGCTACATAGTTTTTTTATGTGAAATTATATTTTGTTGTAATGGCCCAAAATGGGTTCCGTTTTTGTGTGTGACTCGCCCTGTATCATAAATTTATTAAATGTTGACACATTGTTTTTAACTTTTTTAAACTTGTTTATATTTGGCAACAACTCTTCCTTTTGATTTAATTCGTATATAAATTTATACATTGTACATGTAATATGTTTATATTGGCAAATATATCATGTAGTTTAGGCCAAACAAAAAATAGTCGGTCTCTGGTCCGACCAAAGTTCCAGAATTGATGTGGCGATGCGGGTTTTTTGTTTGTTTTTTTTTTTTTGGCTCTTTTTTTTTTTTTCAAGCTTGAATTGTACAGACAAGTTGGGTACTATTTTGCTTGTTTGTGTCCTCATATACATTGGTGTCCTCCATATTTTGCCTTGGTGCCCTCCATTATTTGCCTGGACGCAATTTCCTCATTCCTTGGTGCTCCTTGGTAGCTTCCGTGGTAAATTTGAAGAAAAAAAAAAAAGGTTGACGCGCATGATTAAAATCGACACGCGCGCTGACCAGAGACCGACTATTTTTTTTTTTGGCCTTAGGCCAAAAAATAGTTCTGCTTCTGGTTTCCCTACCTACCCTATTCTGACAGCCCTTACCCTATTTTTTTTTTATGGGCAAAATGAGGGGAAAAAAACCCCGAAAACCATTAAACCCAAAAAAAATCCCTAACAACCTACCCTATATTCAAATGCCATGTACCGGTAATTGAAAGCAGAACTACTTTTTGTTTAGCCTTAACAGTAAAGTCTGTTTGATCACTTTCTTAATGTAGAAATGCAAATTTGTCTACTACATTTCGTAAATCTGGGTTTTGTGGCGATATCTTCAATTTTGTACACTACAGTATATTTTTTTAATTTCATATTTTTCAAGACAATTTGAAAATTAGTTCTATGTATTCGTATTAAAGGTGGATCCTGTAATCAGAATAAAAAGATACAAGTTCTATATTGGCATTTGTAAATGTTTTGAGATCGTAGATAAGTCAGCTCGTAATATGTAGAATGGATCTGATGGGAAGATGGTAATATATTTTGCTGCAAAAAAAACAACATTTTTATAATTGTATGTTTTGTATAAAGTAGAAGTGAACTGCAAATAATTTGGACAAGATCTTATCGGAAAATTGAATTTCCTAAACACGTTATCATGCAGCTGCATAAATCTTAGGGAATAATGTATTTTTCAACTATACGTATCAGCTGGAAAAGCAAACACTTCAGAATTGTATGTTTTATAATCTAATAGTAATACATGACCCTTTTAAATTACGAGTTACTTGGTTACTATCTCCGCTGGCTAACTGTCACTTGTGAAGTAGACTTCCTTATTAAAAGGGAATGTACAATGTACATCATTGGCTTTTGCTGTAATTTTCAAAAATGAACTATTTTGAGGGGTCAGATCAAATATTGTTACACTGACACATGTTTGAAGTTTTGTGTTCGAAAATACTGGAAAAACTAAGAAAAACAAAAATTTCAAGTAGTCTGGTTCCCTGACTCCACTAAAGATAAAATGGATCATTTATAGATGCCGGAAAATTGTAAGATAATGGAACCAGTCTAACTGGCCTGCACCCGTTCATGAACATGTAACCAATAGCAAACAAAATTTGGACTGAAAAAAATGGTAAATTTGGAGCAGTAGTTGAAAAATAGTTAGGTTTTTCTAACGGTGGTCGGCCGACCACCGTTGGAAATTTATACAAAATACCACTTTTCTTGAAAATGACTTCACACATGGTGCCATAATTTTACAGGATGCTTCAGACTGTCATTTACCAACATCCTAATAAGGTATTTCATAAAAAAATGGTAGTTTTGTTTTTGATGTTTGTAAATGTTGTTTATTCCCTTTAAGTCTTTCACTGACTGACTGTCACATGTTCATGTACATGTTAAATCTAAATGTATAGACTTAATATTGTGGCGGGACTGTTCCCGAACCAAGTTATTCCTCGGACTACACATTCAGTCTAAAGGCTAAAGGATGCAGGCTTGTTTTGTATGGAAATCTACCGCCGCAGGAATTGATTCTTAGACCTTCTGTTAATTAGGCAATTACATTTGTACACAATAACAAGGACAACTGGCAACTGAATGGTCGGTAATCTCAAGTAACCATGATGATTTATTGCAGAGACAACAATTAAATGATTAAATGATTTGGGAGTAATTGTCTTGGGTATCTTTATTACAACCTGTGGTTTTCGAACGAGCCCTATTTGCAATACACAACAAATATCGCACTGCTCACTCCAATAAGCACTGCACAAACTAATGCTGCAATACAGGAACACGTACAGCAAGGCACAACCAATGCTGCAATCCATGAACGCTATAGCAATGTACAGACCAATGCTGCAATCCACGAACGCTATTGCAATGCAACAACCTATGCTGCACTGCCTAAACAATATCGCATTGCATAGCTCAGTGCCACTGTGGAGATATGGTTCGCGCGCACGTAGCAGTACTACGAAACCATGGGCCCAGCCCCAATCAACGACAATGCACCCGCAAGTGAATGGCTAAACTGTCCAACAGTTCACCCGCGCGTAGCTACGGAAGCTTGAATTGCCTTCCGCGATACCCCGTTACCGCGATAATTTATCGCAGAAATCAGGAATTCAAAGATACGTATTCCTCGATACCGCGTTACTGCCATAATTTAACACAGAAATCCAGAAATCAGAGATAATTCCTTCCGCGATACCGTTTTACTGTGATAATTTATCACAGAAATCCAGAAATCAGAGATACCTATTCCGCAATACCGCGTTACTGTGATAATTTATCACAGAAATCCGGAATTCAAAGATAAATCATTCAACGATACCGCGGTATCGTTGAATGATTTATCTTTGAATTCCGGATTTCTGTGATAAATTATCACAGTAACGCGGTATCGAGGAATAGGTATCTCTGATGTCTGGATTTCTGTGATAAATTATCACAGTAACGCGGTATCGCAGAAGGAATTTTCTTTGAATTCCTGATTTCTGCGATAAATTATCGCGGTAACGAGGTATCGCGGAAGGCAATTCAAGCTTCTGTACGTAGCATATAGGGCAAATCACCATATAGCAATACACCCCACAGCGAGAGCACCCTCAACTCATGTTCGTACTGCTTGCTGCCACTTACCAGAACCTCCCGTGCGTACACGTGTGTAGCAATCTACCTACGCGCATACATAGCACATGCACTAAACATTATGCTGCACTAAACCTATGGGGCTTTGTCAACCAATCGCGTGCGTGCATACACGCACGCACTGATTGCTAAGACACGCCCAGTCACTCACGGGTGTACTATACTACAGTTCATTCATAAGATTAGAATACAACATACATGTATACACGTGTACGGTACATGTGCATTAGAACTACACTTTCCATCACAATATCTCTCACAAGACTCACATACACTGTACATGTACAGACTGTCACTTAAATTATGGATCAAACTGGTCACCTTTCTCACTCTATAGTTCTCAATTATCAGCCGTGCGAAGCATGCTGATATACTGTGATCGTCCAATTTCTTTCTTTCTTTCTTCGGGCATTTCACCTCTTTTATCCCACCCCAGATTCCTACTACCTACCTCATACCATTCAGCAGTCATTCACGAAGCTACTGATCGACTTGACACCGACCAAAAAACTAAAATATGAACATTATTGATGATTTCGTTGACTTATCCGTTAAATCCGTGCAGTACCAATGCTGTCGTCCATGATGATCGGTTAATTTTGCGCACGGCACACTCACACGTGACCTAAACAATCGAAAAAAATCTGCTAAATCGGCTAGATCATCCTGATCGCGTCGCCTTGCGCGCGCTCCACTCGTGGGCACATGCAGTGTGCGCGATGCATGTGGGTACCATACCGCTTTCAAGCGCCGCTAGTGGGTTCCATTTTCGTCTGGTGCCAAAAATCTGCTAAATCGGCTAGATCATCCACGACATGGCACCAGACGAAAATGGAATCCACTAGCGGCGCTTGAAAGCGGTATGGTACCCACATGCATCGCGCACACTGCATGTGCCCACGAGTGGAGCGCGCACAGGGCGACGCGATCAGGATGTTCTAGCCGATTTAGCAGATTTTTCGGTAATGGCGACAGTAACAAGACAGATTTTAAAAGAGAGCCATATACCGCCATGTTTGTAGGGCTAGAGTCAGAGTTACTCAAGCTAGACATAGCCTATGAATAATGGTGAGTTTCTTACCTGTATTTATTTCAGCATGGATCTGGAAAAAAACATTTGACGGTAACCATCCAGCCGACCTTGTCATCCACGATCCAATCCCTCTGCACCTGGATTTCTCCCTGGACTTGCCGGTCTCTCGCCTCTAAATTGCCGGCATACGGTCGGTGATACGCTCTGTCACGTCTGTGCATGTGCTCCCTTCCCGGTCTCCGGTTATGTAACAAGCGTCGGTCATGTCGGTAAAGCAGGCCGACTGTTTTCTCTGGCAATTCTTCTAAGCGCCAGTCACAAAAACAGCAAGGGATACCTTGTTGTAACGTCACCCTTTCCCTCGGCCTGGATATACTTCCTGAAGCAAAATGCATCCCTCGGATGATGATTTTATTGAGTTTTCTTTTCAATCGGAATATTGAAATCCTCCCGCTGTGTACATTGCGGCACAGGACAGGTTTCCTGAACCATACATCGTGCCGTTGAT